TAATCCAAATTTCTAATTATCAATTCTGGATAATCAATTAGCAGTTGTATAAAGAATTAAACATTAAATCTTCACGTCGTTGTATTCTATACTAGCTGGAACTAATGTGATTGCCTTGCGATCCAATTAAAAAACGATACCCTAATTTTAGTTCCACATAAATTTAGTATAGTCTTGACTTTAGATCACTTTTTAGGAACATTAATCATTTCACGAGATAATATAAGGCGAAAAATGAAGAAAAAATTTTAAAATGCTCGAAATCGAATCGGACTGCAAGTACAACAATGTATTTATAAAAAGTATAATAAGCCCTATATATTCAAACTATGAATAAACGATAAAATTTCCGCACCTATTACTATCGATCACTTAAAGTTCCTTCTTTATGTTTAATTCGTTTTCTATTTCTATTTTTCAAGGCTATTAAAGGCTACAGCCTTGTTGATAAGTAAAGCTGAATGCTTAGCTTTCGCTCGCAGTAGGTATGGATGAAAAATGTAGCGATTTCTACTATCAGTAAGTGGATAAATCTTCGCTACATACTAAAATGTTCTATAGTAAAACGATAGTAGTAATAGCAAAGTAGAGTAAATTAAATATAAACCATGCCCATCTATACCAATTAGAATTATTACTATATCGTTATTTCACTATAAATAAGTTTTTATAAGATGAATTGGTGATGTCGATATCGATACAGAAAGTCCATAACTAAGATAACATTCAGGCGTGGTTAAATTATTTCCAAAAATATTAATAAGTCAAAATTTTGCCTTAACCTTGATAATTCATGCACTAAATATGTTCTTCAAACAAATAGAAAAATCTATTTAGTTTACGTTTTTTAAACGATTGAGATAGTTATTAACTCTAAACATTTGATTCTACACATTTGAGAGTGAGTAAAAATTTTTAAGTTAAAGGAAAAAAAAGAATGATTTACTTATTCATCTAGATATCTATAATCTTTAACAGACTTTTATCCAGGTTTTGACTTGCTTCTGTTACACGGACAAAGACAAAAGTAATATTTTTTTAATGATTGAGTTACAGGTATTCAAATTTAAATGCATTCTGATTTTATCAGTTTCAAAGTATAAAATCTTCATGGTGACTCTATCATTTGCTCATTAAATATTTGAGCAGATCTTTTAGCAAAATTAATAAGCATTTTTTTAACATAAATAACATATTGTTATGAATGCTTATAAGAGTTTAGTTTAATAACTGACAATGTTATGAATAAAGCTGCGGATAGGATGATAACATTGGTTGTCAAGCTAAGAGGTTAAAGAAAGAAAATTTCGTACGAAGTGGTGCGATAATCGCAATACTTTAAAGTTTTTCAAACGGATATATGACTTATAATTAACGCAATCTATCGTAATCATTTTCCAGTGCATGTTGAGGTGTAATGCGTAACTTAGCACGATAGATTTAGGGCATATTGAAATATAAAATACCGACATAAAAAACTCAACACTGCTTGAGAGGAATACTTAATGTAGTGTAATGAGCAGTAAAATTCATGGTACCGAAGCGGTACCTACAAAAGGATGACATAATTAATCCTAATAAAATATGACTTACCAGTATTAAAATAACGTATACGACTTTCATCTTTAGCATAAATTTGGATTGGTGCTACTATATCTTGGAATGACGTTGAATCATCAAAATTACGGAAATGGTTCAGTTATAAGTATTTTTTTTAATTTTGTCGGTAGTTCGCTCTTGATATGAGAAAAAAATTGCTATGATATTCCTTTAGCATAACTAGCGAACAATGATGTTATCACATTCGATACTATTCACCTTAAAGCTGTAATGATTAACTAGTATATTACCGTGATTATCGTGACAAGGTGACATAGTAGCATCCAGGTGTTATTCTGATTATTTTGAGTTCCTCATTAAGTATGTTATTAATAACAATAGTTTATTAAGGAGTCACTTGTATGAATTAATTCGTTGATTGATGCATTCATAAAACTTCTTTCTAGAATTCCATAGAAAATATCATATTACAAACAGTTAATACTTTGAAGGTAAGATTTTAGGCGATTGTCAATCACATTAAAATTTTATTATTTAATTATATGCTAGAAAATCTGCACGATGAGATGGTTACAGTAAACAATTGTATTTAGACAACTATTAGATTATATAAAAAGTTATTGAAGAAAGGATAATAAAAAAGTAATTATAGAAGCCTGTAAATGTCGAATTATTCAAGCGTTCAAAGGCAATTATAATTTATTTAATATTTATATTGATTGTTAAATACTTCAATGTTATTAGTAAACAAAAATTGTAAATAAAATTTGTAAAGTCTCTTTGTCGTTTTCAATTAATTAATTAATAAAATGAAAGTTATTTTTGGAAAAAGACGATAAGATAAGGCCGGTCATATCCATTATCAAAATTAGATTAATTAAAAAGTCAAGAGCTATTACAATGGAAGAGAAGAAAAGCGCCTAGGTGAGTTAATACGTAGATAGTATTAACACTATTTGTTCAATCAGTAAATGACTTTATAAAATCAGAATGTTATCTATTTATTGAAGTAGAGAATAGCCCTCATATTTGTAATGATATCACTGATTATCTCTAACAATTTATTCATAAATTAACCGGATGAATTACTGTTTTATTTTATTTTATAATCAAATTACTTGTAAACACAATTTAGCACTAAATCTGAATAGATTCTGTTGATAATTGTAGTACGAGTATGTAGAGAAAAAGATGTGACGTATATTTTTAACTGGTTAACCATCATTTTCTGGCTTATGAAAAATAATATTCACTTGAGAATAAAGAGCAAATTATTGAATCTTGATAAAATATATCTCAATGACTCTATATCAAGGCATCGTCTCTGAAAATAATGATAAAGTATTTTAGAAAGTATTTATGATTAGTTTTCGCTTTCCTTTCAGATACGTACTAATATTAATACTTCGGCCATTCATATCATCATAATTTAATAATTGTTGATTTTGATTACTGCATAATATATGTAAACGCCGATTTCAATTCATCACAAGTCATTCTCGTAAATACTGCATCTATATAATCCTGTAATAAGTGCGTCTCACAATAACTAGCTTAGTCAAATTGTATTTTCGAAAAGGCCTTTATTACAAGGTATTAGAAATAGTAGAGCAATAATTAATTACTACAAGAATTTAGTCTAAAATCTAAAGTATTCCGAGCTCAAAGCGAAGTGAAGTCTCTTCTCCTCTGTGAGCTCATCTCTGCAGTTCTTATAAACATTTCATTAAATCCATTTATGACAACTTGATTCATCTACAATCAGATATGAGTCATCAAACAAAATACTTTTCTCTAATGGTACATCATTATTTTCTACAATCTAAATTATTCTACTTAAGATGTCCCTACTTTTCGAAGGGCATCTTAACAACTACAGTGTTTCTAGCTACATAAATCTTGTACCATAATTAGTCAACTAGCTACTATAAGTCATCAACAATTTCTAATATAGTAGTTAGCAATCATCTAATATTACCTTCACGGTAATATCTATTCAAAGCAACCTAACTATATCAAATATAGCTATCCGTATAATCAAATACGGGTACATCACTACAAGTCCGTATAAGTTTTGCTTGCATTTTTTGTTTTTAATGGAGTTGATGTGATCCTAGGCTATCGGTGCCGAATGATAATTTAGCTGATTATTCAAGTAATACAATTTTCTTCTTAAATTTAATCACTTGCTTATTGTATTTATAAAATAAAAAACGATGTATCCCAAGCATAAAAGTACTAAATCTCGAATTAATTGTAAGCGTAACGTTTCTATCCTTTGATATTTTTCGCAATTATACGAAATTTTCTCTCCTATTATCGCATTAGTACTCTATACAGACAAGAATAATGCATATTAAGTGTCTTGACGGCAAGCGAATAGAAACTTTTCAGAATCGCACCTATATTTATTTTACACATACATTTTTGGAAAACTATCGCTTAATTTGAAGGAATTACAGCTACTCACTAGTTGCTTTGCTGGGACGTAGTTAATTATTCTCTTTGCATGTTATCATTAGAAATTTTGACAAAATTTACATATATTAGCATTACTGTACCACTTATTTAGACTGAGCAATATTGTAACTTTGTCATCTGATTTTCAGCAAGTTTCGAAATGCTTTAAATCGACGTCAAGTTATCGGAAATTTAGATTGTTTAAAGGCAACAGTTGCTAATGCATTACTTCTTTTTCCTCATAGTAATAGATTGATAGCCAATTAATTAATTAAATGTATTCAATTTGTTGACGTCATAACTTACCTCATAAGCTTAAACTCTTCTAAATCCTTATCAGAATTAAAAATATTGTGCTGGAGCCAGTAGTATTGTATTTATTTATTGTGATCTACTCATTGGTATAGTCAATCAAGCTAATGTTAAATGAGTATTGATGATGAAGCAACTAATATTGCTCCTTATACTGTCTACAACCGGGCATGGCTACTATCAGCACTTTTCGCCCTCTATTCGCTGCTGGAGGATCTAGACAGCAATAAATGTAATCTGTGATGATGCTCATTGAGTCTATAAATGTAAACTATTACGATAATTACGAACACTAAGTCAATAATATTTGTTGATCTTGAACTGCTATATAATACTGTTTTGTTCTTTCGTTAAAATGCCATAATTTAATTTTCTTTGGGTCTGGCAGAAAGATGCCTAAACGTAATGACAATATATAGTTGCCGTAAAAAAGATTACAGTATTTACTTGGTAACAATGTTTAGCCAAAAAATCTCCCTTACCAATTAAACAATCAATTAGTCCATTTATAAATATCCTCAGTCCCATATGTTCACGTAATTACGCTTTATACTACTGTACGATCATATTTCGAATAATCGATATATCGCATATGAAAACCTCCATATTTTGTTATCGTGAATACTTGTCATTGCGACATTTTAATATACTCGTATATATGTATTATGATATTTGTCCTAATACACAAATTTCGATCATATCTTATTAAATAATATTCCTCGCATTGATAGCACAGTGATAAGCACATATTTTGAATAATATTAACGTTATGTGGTTGTTGTAAAAAGCAAATATGCAATCAAGTCACATTAGTTATCCTTTTTTTCTGAAACATCTTCTGAACCTTTACCTTGATCTTCATCTTTATACCTAGGGAAATATCAATAGATAACTTATTATCATTATTTCTTGCCATATTGGAAAAAACTTAGCCGACATAGGTATTAGTAGATCATTTAACTTTTATATACATACGCAAATAGTTCCTTCAATTGGCCTTTTACTAGTGCCGTTAAAATAGTTGAACCAATACAGGCTGGCACCAAATATAATAATGCAGGCTACAATTTTGTATAAAATTTGTTTGTTAAAATGTACATTAAGTATAGCTTCAAGTAAAATAAGCATCATCATAAAATTATGCGAGAAGTCGCCACAAACAGTGAAAGTTACCTGTGCTGCTTTAAATAGTAGAAGAACTGCGACTGTAACAATTAGACCAATAATGTAAGCCACGAGTCCATTATAAAAATAAGCCTTACTGCCCTTATTAGAACTAAATTATTGCAGTAAAAATTAGTACCAAAGCTTTAGAGATAGTTTATCTTAAGCTTAATATAGTATCTAACCTCAAGTCGAAACGCAATAGCAATGCAATATAAATTCCTATTTATCAAAGACGTCATTCGGACAAAGAGTTAGTATGATTTCAATTCAATTTATGATTTGATATGTTTAATTGTAATAGAATAACATAATGAAATAGAGACCTCTTTACTGAGTTTAATTTACATCAATTAAAAGACATGATACTTAAAATTATACTTTACCTGGTATGACAATATCACCTAAACCTAGCATTGCATAATTTGTAGAATTGATTCCCTTTTCAATAATATCTACGGGAAAGATTACTATTGCGAACGATTAACACAAGAGAATATCATCAGAATATCAATGTTGTGTTAAAGATACCATAATGATACTGCTTCATATCAGTGGTTACAAAGGTGCACCTACAAGCGGTATAAGGTATTATTAGCCTTTTTAATCAGTAAGACCTACACTTTATAGGAGCTTCAAAGGAGGTCGCCACAGTAACCATAACATCAGTACCGAAAACCTATTGATATTAAAATTTAATTCATGTATAAAATATAACATTATCCTAGAAGGTTTAATACATTTAATAAAAATGTTTCTTTAAGTATCTCTTTTATGATGAGACAGATTGTGAATGATTATTAATAGATATCGATATTATAGCTAACCCAAAAGATGTCATAGAAGAAGAGACCACCAAGTAAAATACAACCCGTTTGAACACTGTAAAAAATATTAACTAGATTATTTACTGTTGTTAATTATCCACTATCTAGAGATACTATCTGGCAAGATCAACGTTACCTGTTCAACTGCAAGAGTTCAACCCCAGTCGACGCAAATGCTAGTCCTAAAATGTTGTTAGCGATCCAATGCTATTCGATATGAATAAAAATTTTTGAGTTCTTCTTAAAGACAGCAATAAAAATTTCTGTACATAAAGTTGTTTTGATGTACTGTATAATGGACTGCAATTTCTCGAGATGCTTCGATAACTATTTTATTACAGTATATGAGTAGTATGATACACGGTATCGAGTGTGTACATAATGCGACTAGTAATGTATACATGTATCATTAAAATCATCATTTTGAACCCTATTCTATTAGGACTATACATAGCATGTAACATTTATTTCAGTATTTATTATATCTACCTTTTTAATAAAATACCAAACATTAAAGGCAGCGGATAAAGCCAAGGCCATCAATGTAATGTAATCGAATTCGATATCGTTTAAGGCTAAATAATTAAAATAACATTCAAGAACAAATTCTAATAAGTAACTATTTTAAGCTATTATGTTAACTTGTCAAAAATTGCTATTATTTTAAAGATACTTCAAATTTGCCTAGATGTTATTGTAGCATCTTTGGTAATTAAGTAAGCTTTAATAATCGAGATGATCGAAAAACTAACTCTCTTTCTTTTCGTCTTTCTTTTGAATAAACAGAAATTGGTAGCAAGTTTTAGGTAATATACCTCTAAAGATTGGTCGGATGACTGGGCTAAAAAAATGCAAAAGTATTTTAATGACAGTTGAACGTGATCAAAATCGAGCTAATACTGACTGCTAATTTCTGAAATTATTTATGACACTATTTACTACATAAAAGCCTTCGCGGTGACTTTGAGTCACCAATACTTACTCCAAAATGGACGTTAAACAACCGGTACCAAGAAAGAAGAAGTAGCCAGCTAAGAGTAAGTTAAGATACTCTTTGGATAAGAGCTGCAAAAAAATAAAATACATATTTTATTTTTATACGCGTTCTGTATATTATGAAAGATAAAGCGATTGAATTTTGTAAGTCACAAAGGCGTAACTTTCTAGAGAGCGATTAATCCACTGAAAGTGCAATCGTCAGTTAATAAATCAAATTTTTTTATCGTTACAGCAACATTTATTTATTATTACCTTTATGACTATGTATAGACTAAATAGCGCGCCACTGGCGACTAATGGAAACATGAGGGCGTCTTTAGAATTCATAGTCTCCACCTTTCAAAAAGATTGATTGCAAATAGAAGTACGTAACTTGTTATAACGATAAGACACGCCACATATAATATTATTAATAATTAAACGTGATAGGAGGATTTCAATTTTTAAATAAATATAACATTACAACTTTATGTTGTGAGTAAAGAATAAGTTAGCTTATTATTGCAAGATACGGTAGAATAAGTGGTGCAGTTTAAAGTCGTTACATTCAAGATAATCAGTTTTCTTGGAATCAAGGCATGATATGCGCGTATAATACAGTATATTATACGTCTACAGTAGTACTGTATGATGCGTTTATTATTTTCAAGCAGACTTGTAGTGTAAATAAACCTAAAAAGCTTACAAGTACAGTATAGTATACCGGATGGTGACTATAATTATAAGAGTCGGCTTAGGTTTGATGTATTATCACTGTTCTATAGTACAGACATAAATATTCGTGAAGTAATAAAATTAGTATACACACATTGTTTGATGAATGACGCAAAATCTTTCCATCAAAGCTAAGAAAATGTTGTCCCCGTACGTCTGTACACAAACGTAGTTATGTGCATACTTTTAGCTTATTTGTACGATAGTCATTGCTTGTTGTCAATTATGAGTGAAGATCGTGCTTAGAATCATATTGATGGACGGTATTAATTATTTCAATCGATATAGCAGCAGCTACGGGCACGTACGTCTAAATTTGAAATACGTCATTGTGTACTGGGGGAGATTACGTTTTAGACCAAAGTTATGTAGACTATCATCGATCAAGGATAATATAGTATACAAGAAAAACTATTTAAATTGTCCAACGCATCCAATTCAAAGTCTGGTAATTTGATCTAAGAGCTTTTTACTGTGCGAAAGTAACTTGAATTAATCTCGATTACGGGACACCTTTGAATTGCATCACTACGAGTATTCATAGTACAATAAGCGGAAATTCATGTCTGCATAATACGGATACAGTTGTTACAGGCATAGCCGAGGATTAACGGTGATTTTGGCCACTGTTCCAAAATCTTTAGTGATTTATATACAGTCAGCGATAAAGCGATATGGAATAAAAATGTAGTTGGAGAGCTTGCTAATTGCAAGCGAAGACAAATGTTACGTTAGCATCGTAAATGAGAATCTTCAGTAAATTTGTGTATTGGAGAGTACGTGAATGCAAAAGTTGAAGGGTTCTAGTATTATACTGTAACATTTTACTCATTTTGACATTAACTTAGAATCAGTTTGCAAATTTTATTGATTAACAGTTGGTAGTTTGCTGAAAATTGTTCAAGGGTAAAGGTTAAATTATGCAAAACTCTTTTCTACTTTCATTTTAATATCGTTGCGTAATAATGCTTTCCCGATTAAACATGGTTTGCTTTCGCTATGTAGACAACGTCTTATTTATCGCTTTATGGCGTCATCGTAGGAAAAATTCAGACTGTATCAACCCTATACAAAGAATAAACTAATAGACATAAAGTGGATATCATGATGGTACAATATTTCTAACAATACTAGGAATGGAAGGATTAGTAAATTGAGATAGACAAGTTATGGCCGTATAGTCCATTTTATTTTCAAGATTGACGAGAACTACAAGCGATATCCAGTTCTACCCTCACGTCCATCCACCAAGTATATTACAGTACTCATTCATTGCTATAGGATGATACAGTAGTATTACATTTATAGACTATAATGTAGTGTAGTGTTCATTTCATTGAATGAAGCCCTTTCAATGCAAGACGACTTCATTACCCTAGCCAAAGCGTTAATGACTATTCGCCGCTATGACTTGGTGTAATTATTTTTCGATCAATCATTTCAACTCTTAATCAACATGTGAAATGGATCCGCTTTGAAAAGATTGGTTTATTGGTGATTGCATTTTAAAGCGTATAAATGCAATGACAGCTTACCTTGGATTTTTGCGTACGATAAAAAGACCGAAAAGAGCCATAACAAATAGGCAAGATAGACATGATAATTAAGCCACTATAAGCTACGGCTAAGCCAGTAGGGGTTCCTTTAAGTGATCTTGTAGTCTTATTACTTTGCTCGGTTGCATTTTCAATGATAGCAGAAACAGTACTGTTGATTTCCTCCATATTTACGCTTCAAAGTTAATTTTTTTCGAGCAATCGAGAATAACTGCGTTGTCAAGATCGAACGAGAATCGCTCAAGTGAGGCAATAGTAACGACAACTCGATGGACGTCAGCTATTGTACTGATAGCATTAGAACCAGACTTGATGTCCACTTCTGCGTGTAGGTACAGAAGTACAGTACTGTACAATACAGTACAGTACTGTAGAGTAGTACTGTACTGTATGATCAGTATGTACTGTACAGTACAGTACAGTACCAGAATGTACAGTATTATGTGCAGTGTACTGTACAGTAGTAAGTACTGTACGCGACGGTAGTACAGTATGTTGCTACGATACCAGGTACTGTAGCATGCCTGTACAGTGTACAGTACTGTACTGTACAGGCATGCTCAGTAGGGTGCAAATTCTACAGTATGCAGTACAGTACTATCATTTCAATCTCCGGGAGATACTGTACCCGTTGACCATTGAATGTGCTAGGCACTGTACAGAAGTACTGTACATACTGTACTGCGGTATGATCTGTGTACAGTACAGTACAACTAGTACTAATGTACAGTACAGTAGTACTGTATAGTACTGTACTGTACAGTACAGTAGTACTGTATGTTGCTACGATACCAGATACTGTAGCATGCCTGTACAAAACTGTACAGGCATGCTCAGTAGTGTGCAAATTCTACAGTGTACAGTAGATATTAAACCATTGACTGTGCTAGGTACAGAAGTACTGTACTGTACAGTGTACAGTGTACAGTATGATCTGTACAATACAGTAGTACAGTACAGTATGTTGCTACGATACCAGGTACCGTAGCATGCCATTACACTGTACTGTACTGTACAGTACTCATTGACCATTGACTGCGCTACTGATTCATGTTACGGGACTACAGACTGTACTGTTATACTGTACACTGTACAGTATACTGTAGACTAAAGTATCAACTAGCCCATGATGCCGTGCGAGCGTGCATATCCCACTACGTCACCGTTGTGCTTGTGTTGCTGAAGTAGACTCGTTTAATACATTCGCTAATCCGTAGGATGGAAGCTATCCCAAAATAACCTCCAGAAGTAATCATGTATACCTTACTCTATGGATTATGGAAGTATATGTTTCAGAAAGATGAATACTACGTTCTTATTCTTGGATTAGATAATGCTGGTAAAACGGTAAGGATACGATGATGACAAGATCCATTTCTTGGCGACACAATTTTACTATTTCTTTTTTATCCATGGTTTATATTGAATCGCTCTCAGTGCTGCTGAATCATTCGGACTGCTTCTACTAGTAGTACGACTAAAAATTGAAAGATTCAAAGTCTCTTGATTACTCTATCATCATTCAATTTTTATAATAAAAGCCTTGATGATTTAATTCCAACCATTCAGTGCTCAACTTAACCTGATAAACATGATAGTATGCGCTAAATTGCGCTCAAACCATAGAATGAGAGTAATGTTCACTTTGCCGGTACATGACGATAAGCTAGCTAATGGACGATGGATAAGTATTGGATTAATGAAACTTTTAGACGAGTTAACATAGACACCTTGACAACATGGTATCGTCTTAATAGACAATCTTTACGCTTTTCTCGCATTTTCTTCGGTGTATCGTATGTAAATCCAATTCCCGTATTAGATTAAACAAATAATAGTATACATTTCATCCATTTTCTCTTCTATCAATACAAACTCATGTATCGTATCGTCGATTCCACAACATCTGTAAAGAAGCCTCTACTTCCTATACTAAATCAGTAAATCCCCCCCCCCCCAAATGTCCATGTGTATAACTAACCTATTTCGTTTACAAATAAAGTAGAATTAGTATCTTACTCGTACAAAATAGCACATCCTATGGAACATTGGATCCTTTTTACCGTTATATGAAGAAAACATAGGGGAAATAAACAGCATGATAATATGGATAGAGGAGTTAGTGACTTGGAGATTATAACGCAATATGGAAAATCCGCAGTACTGTACAATACTCAGCCATGATAGGACTATGCTTATAATCCTTGATGGATGGTAATCTATCCTAGAGTTTAAAGGACGCCTTATTAATTAAAAGTACTAAAATTTGTCTGATTAATTTTGAAATTCCATTACTTATAGACATTTCTAGAAAGGACGAAAAGTAAATTTTCTCGAAATTATCAATCCTTATCCGCGGATAAGATTTCACCGACCGTTGGACTAAATAGTAAGAAGTAGAACGTAAACCTTCTACAACCTCAAGTTCTATCATTATTACGATAATGATGATAATTGCCAAACTAGAAATTGAACTCCATAACTCATAATGTCACACAATTGAAGTACTGCAATCGATGCCACAGTTTAAATAAAAATTTTTCTTCTACAGTCGGAAGAATAGATTTAGGATCAATTAGATTACGCTTTTGGGATCTTGGTGGCCAGAAGGACCTTTTAACTTTATGGGACAAGGTAAAACATTATACCTTTCTACGTCTGTTTTTCTCAAAAGAGAATATTGCATTTCTAATAAACCTTATGAGCACTAGAATCTTATGAGATTTGACGGTGTATCTGCTTCTTATCTTCAAATTTTTTCATACATATGCATTATTGGATACTAGTATTACTCGGAAGCCCATGCAGTCATATTTATGATTGATTCAACGGATAAAGAACGTTTGTCTATGTCTAAAGAAGCATTCGGTGAGAAGTTAATAAATGCATCATATCGGTACACTAAGATTCGGCTAATAATATAATATATTCTCAAATGGACGTATTTTCTAACCAGCAATTGACCTTCTATTTCCATTCGTAGATGAAATGATGGTACACCCAGCATTAGATCGTGTACCTCTACTTGTTTTAGCTAATAAGCAGGATTTAGAGGTATTATCGATATCTTAGCTTTGTAAAGTGTACCATTAAAAATGATATGGTTGTATGATAACAGTTATGATACATGGTACTTGACAAAACACATCATTTTGTTCTATATCTTTCTTCATTATTTTTAGTCCGCTATGGCGTTGGATGAAATAAAAACCATTTTTAATGAGAGTTTACAAAATCTTGGCAAGAGAGATTTTAAGATTCAGCCAATTTCCGCTCTAAAAAGGTAATTCTCGTTTAGAATTGGATATTAAATTTGATTGCTTAGACGTGACATGTTTTCTTTTTTAAATCCGAGTATACTTTACTATTTCTTAATGGAAATTTTTATACTTTAGTCAAGGCATTCATGAGAGTATCGACTGGCTAGTTTACTGTGCAAAGAAAAATAGTGACAGGCCACCTAGCACTCGTGAAATTACATCATAAAATTGCTATGGTATCGTATCTGGCTACTAGACAATTTTATCAATTTTCTTTCTACAATTTTAACTTATGTAACTTCAACAGTAAGAAATCAATATCTAGATGTAATTCAGAATTACCAAATTTATACGACGATAAGTTATCTAGCACTCATCACAACTAGCGGAGTGATCAATTAAAGTAAAATTAATGCATAAAGAGTCTAGACCAAGATGCTCCAGCCCAAGTTGTGCTTACGGGCAGACTTATTCCTGATTGATTTGTTGAATAATAAGAAAATATACAGCAGAATGAAAGAAATATATATATTCTAGGTGAATCTCTTAAGTACCCGTTGCTACATTAGACTTGCAGTTTTATTGCCATCAAGATAACAATAACAATTTGCATATTATCTACTTCTCCCATGTACAATATCTAGTAGTGCTATATTTAGGTATTTTATCTACCGTAAAAACAAATTCTTCAACACCAAATAAATACTGTATCATATTGTGCTTTACTATAGTTAGATTAAATTTAAGATTTAAATTATGTTCATAAATATAGCTCATATACAAGCAGCACATTTAAAAGATTAAAAGAAATGTATAATTCATTCTTAATACTTTTGCTATTGACCATTCTGGATTATTTAATTACTGCATACCGATGTACAGATTTGTTATCCCTAACATCACATCCTGCGATCGATGATGCAAACTTGTATTTGCTTGATAGTATATATTACTAATCAACGTTTTTATCTATCTTGTCGACGTTTAAAGCAATATGTCGATGTGATCATGTGGTTTTAAAGCGCTAATTAAGATGATAATCAAACCATCAAATTAATAAAAATGTCCAAATGCCTGATATAACCTGTCAAGTCAAAATAGGCTTTAAATCTCTTTAAATACTTGCTTAAATTTTAGCTAAAGAGATAGGAATATCTTTCACTTACCGTAGCTTTTTCACACTTTGATTACTAGTTCGATAATATAATTAATTAGTACTACAACTCACCTAGCATACTGTGTGATATGCAAAAGATATATTGTATCTGACTGTTAATTGCAGTCTACAGAAAAAAATTAAACTAGTTCAAGTCGTGAAAATTTTACAAGGTTACGGTAGAAAGCTTACATGGAATGGAAGTATAGCCTGGGTGTTTCTTATACTGTATTATTGGTTTATTTACTTAGTGTAACTTTACGTATAGGCACATCTAAAATATTAGCATACGTGTATTGTATGTATTTACGAGATTTCACTTTTTCATGCTTTTAAATATTTCTGAATTGAAGTCATTTAGCATGTAGCAAATTGTTGCTTTACGGATACAATGTGCACGTATACTGTACGAAAGTATAATTAGTGTCAGAATATAGTTAGTATATCATATTATGTGCTGTATCAAATTCTTTATTATACAGTAGAAACTCATTAGAAAGAGCATATTATATACTGTAAGTAGCCTATATTCATTTAGGTAATACCCGTACACTAACTAATTAGTCTCATTAGATGCAGATCTGTGTCTTTATCCTCGCTTTTAATCGTAAGTAACAATCTCTCGATAGTAATTACATTTTTCATTTCGAGTACTCGTATGTGTGCGTAACCAAACGATATTAATGTTTTTAGATTAATATCATACCGGCACAAGTACATCTGTTCCTGTTTACACTCGGTATCCTGGGACACTGAACTAAGTATATCATAACATTTCTTGTCATCTTTAGGATAAATAGTGCATATGTTTTTTTCTCGTAAATATCACGGGTACATTAATTACCACTGTAAATACGGTACATTATATGCCAATAATCATGGTCTCCTGCTATTACGTTATTTCTCACACGAACGAGTACTTTATGCAAACCAATATAATTTTCATAATATTTATGACAAATTCTATTACTTCATAATGCATTAATTAGATTTCACAATTAAACAAAACTATAGCGAATGATTTTTACTGTTACGTAATACATCAACAAATCTACAATAATTGTTCATAAATTGGGATAACAATTTATCGATACTTCCTTAATGTTTATAGTAATTTAGCGTAAACTAACAACATTATAATACGGCGTCCGCCTGCAAGGTAACAGCTATGATACTAGTACCATTTAAATTATCTGTACTTATTGTCAGATGTAGATGAGAATAGAGCCTAGTTTAACTTGCAATAGATGCCTTTTAGTATAAAATAGTACTTGCATTAAAGTAGGTCTTTCTATGAACACTGTGATACTCTAAATGTAGGAGATTAAAAGACCTCTAAAGACAATAATAAAATGCACTCTAGCCTTCATTGTTAAATCAATCAACTAGGTCGATCAACTAGGATGTAATAGTTTCTATAGTAACCATCATTTGCATACTATCAATAATAATGACGATAATATAATATCGTCTATGAAGCAGTGCCAGCTAATTGCACTCTTCTACGGATTGTTTATACAGGTTGGTCAGCATTCGATCCAATTCGGCAATAGTAACCCCTTGTATAGGAGTATAGGATGATATTGGAGTAATGTTTAGATTTGAGAATTACAGTTAATCATAAATAACGGTAGCTTTAGCATATTCTACGATCGTTCTTAATTAAGTCATATATGAAAATGAAGAAATGGCACTAAGAAAGCATTGAAAGTTTTCCACTTCATCATTCTTAATAATCATGATAAGTAAGCTACGATGAATCTAGTATATTTAATACTTAAAAGTTAGATCTCGATGATTTCCTATTTACTACAATAGTAAATCCTTTACTAAAAGTTAATATTGTCATGCGTTTTTTGATGCACGATTATACGAAGGTGAGAAAATGGATGTCAATGAAGATAATTTGGTGAGTAAAATGCTATCCAGAACTGAGAGTCGGAATTTTTATGCCAATATGTACATTTCAGTTTACACTGCAATTATCATTACTGTTATGTGATCTATTATTGCACATTTAGTTATAAATAAGTTGAAAAGTAGATGAAAATTAACACCAATATCAAAATCTTAAGTAATCTTACAGTTTATACCATTTTATTTACAACGAATTTCAACCTTTTTTTTGTCTAGTAGCTTAACTGCTATTCTCAGATTGTCGATAAGTCCAGCTAGTATCCATTCTTTATTACTAACTAATCCCTGTTTTTGGATTGTCTACTATGTAGTTAAGATAAATTGAAAAGTTTGATAAAATTTAGCAGCAATTCTGTATACTATAATAGTCGTAGTATTCCATTCATAGCAAATTTCACTCTTAGTAATCTAATTTTGACCTACATGTTGTCGATTATCATGACTAATATGCCATCAGCTATTTCGATATAATCGTTACTATTGGCTTGATTATCGTATAGTCTAGATTTCTGAAAACATCGATGTTATGATCTCGAGCAATCCTATATCATACATAAATTTTGGTTATACTTTCCGTTCTTTCGGTCGTGCAGCCCAATTTTAACTCTTAAATTGCAGATAGATACGTCTGGTATATAATCAGTTATCACCTCCTAGTGTAAGATATGTCTGGAAATTTACACTCAATTAAAGAGTTTATTTTTTATCACTGTCGTACAATATTGCTAAACTATTCCACCCTTTTAAACTGAAAACTTTCAAGTAAAATTAATATAGTAAATGCAGACAACTTCATCCTCACGTTTTTAGATAGGAATAGTTTATTTAGCTGTAGAATTATAGTATTACTTTAACTATAAAGACTGAAATTTTATATTAAATACTAGATAATAAATTATTCATTCATAAATTGAACATTTTATATAGGAGACTAAGTTAATGTACGACCAACTGCTGGTAGAATTTCTGAATGAATATTTGGCTTCACCGGTAATAATAGACAAAATCAAACGATGACTTTTCTATATTCTTAATTCCTCTTCATAAGAGAATTTTTGATAGAATTTTTACCACTTTATACGTTGCATTAGACTTTTGGAGAGCGTATAACTTACAACTACAATACGGGCAACTTTGAAAGTCTACGAGATGAATTAATTGATCAGAAACAATTCATTAGCAGTAAACGAACAATTTTTATACCACCAGGATCACCCGATCCAAACTCATGTACTTCCATTCATGTTTACGTCAAGGTAATAGCTACTATAATATATTCTTTCAGCATTTCAAGCAATCATTTACCTCTTAAAGGTCATTTTAAAGGTATAATTCAATGTTACGACTTCACTTTGATACTTCTAGAGTATAGAGAAAAAAATTGGCTTACAATGGTTCAAGTTACATCGATTAAAATCGTTTTTACGTAGCAAATCCTACTGTGAATATCGTTTAGCGATTGCTATTGATCAAAACTGGGCAGTAAGTAAAAACTTTTTACTAGTCTTTGCTTACTAAATAAAGATATGCTAAGTTCACTTTACAGGTCTTTGTAGACAGAAAATACAGTACTAAAAGACATTTCACCATCTATGTCCTAATTTATTATTGTCTTATTTCCTTTCATTTCATTTAAATTTTTGAATAGGATCATCATAGTAAGAAATATTCTGCTACAAGTAAGAATAGCAAAATAGTCGATAATCTTTCTGTTCATGTTGCCATAGTTTCATTTTATTTCGACAGTATTTTTAAATAATTATAGCCATAAATTGAAGCTTCAATTTCTTCTAATTTATTACTATTATGCTGAATTCAATAGAAGATTCCAGATTTAATGTAAACAATCAAAAAGAAAGTCTAGCTAATTCTAAAACATCTGTAAGTATTGTTTATTTGATAATTTATAGGCAACATCGTTGGCAAATATAGTTTCGATCGATTAATATAGACCCTAGTTTAAATTATCGACTATAAGTAACAAGTAGGTGCATGTATAATATAATTGTAACTACAAGATCTTTGCAGCAACTATTCTAATTAAAAAGCAGTTTAAGGTGACAGCATTTCAAATATAGTGGCATCTGAATCTTAATAGTTTTAGTGTGATATCCTATAACCTATAATTAAAAGATTAAATTATGAAAGTAAATGTATGATATAGTCGTGGTAGCTTTAAGTTTTAAAAGAATAAAAGTTGTAAGCTTTTTCACTGATAATAATGGTGATCCAATTGGCAGCAGAAGAATGGCACATTGTCTATGGCCGTATCGAAGAAAGTTATGGATGAATTTAAAGAGTTTATCCAAGATAGTGATGGATGCAAGTATTTTAATTTCTGGGTAGATATTGAATATGCAACGTTACAAAACGACCTAGAAAGTGACGAAAGTTATTCAAAGTAAGTAGCCCAAGAAGATTACGGACTGTAATTTTTATTCCAAATTTTGATTTTGTAAGGTATCTCTGTCAATAGAGAAGCATTTCTATATGAAACCGTTTTATCGGCTACATTCGCTATTTACTTTTTTCTACCTATAGTATAATCCGATTAATTCGGGATAAGTATGTTAATAATGGTAGCCCAAATCAGTTTAATAAAACATTTCTTGACTCAACCGGGTTGTATCGCCTATCAGCATTAAGTGCTAAAAAATTATTACATGTACAACAAAAGGCTTTTACAGAATTAGCAAGTTATTGGTGAGTAAAATAATCAATGAATCTACAATTATATTAAGACAATTTGCACATAATCAGTAACAAAACAATCTATAAATTCACCTGTTAACGTTCATTATTTCCTACAGTAGCTATTAATCTTGAGGATAAAACTCTATGTCCTAACTATTAACTAGTATAACTTCCTTCATAGTAATGCCATTAGAATATTAATTTTTCTAAAAGTAAAAGGATAGTTATATTAAATCAACATTGACAATACTTTTCACTTATCTGTTTAAGGTTGAAATATTTATAGAAGTATAGGATTAATGGTTGTGATGAATCAATTTTGTTAGAATTCTATATCGTAATTGTCAATTTAGTCTTGCAATTCTAAAGTAAATTTCAACTACAGCAGGCCAGCGGAACATACTTCTTCTTATGGTCATATTAAATCGATTTTATTGTACTGTATCGATATGTGTTCATAGCAACCTAATCCAGATTTAAAAGTAACGTAAATTATTTTAGTAGCTTCTGATTTAGTTATTTTCTTAGTATAAACGGTACAATTAAAATACTAAGCTGACACAAATCTGCGTAATAAAATAAAGATAATTGCTATTTTTATCATCTAGTCTCATATTCTAAAGAACTTACATAGGCTGTAGATAATAATTTAGTTAGGCTAATAAGTTATACAAATAAAATAGAATATTTATATCCATTGCATCATAAGAGATGTTATTATTTGTCAATGATAACAATGAATCCTACGTGGTATTTTAATTTTAATAACTTGATTATAAAACTACAGGTATCCTCGTTTTATGATATGGTATCAGCTGCAACATAAGTCCTTAATCACAGATAGCTCAAATTCTCATCGACAGATTACCAGATCAGTGGCTCAATCATTGTCTAGGCCTAGCAGCGCAAGTAATCCATCTAAAGCTGTTTCTCTATGTAAAGTCTCCTTTCCTAGCGAACCTTATTTCGAAGAATTATCCATACCAAAACGTCGACCCCAATCCGCAATATCGGCTCGTAGTAGACCTTCTTCTGCAAGATATAAGGTAAAATCCGACTATCTTATTGCTAATTAAAATTATCCATAAATCCACCTCTAGTTAATCTTTCTTGTTACTCAAATTGTGCTTTTTGAATCATGGTATGCTTCCATCTGCATAAGAATAGAGTTTAGATTATCACATCATTGTTGTAAAATTGCTCCATAGATGGTGTACTATAGAAGAAAAATATCTCGATTTTTATTGCAGACAAAATCTTTAACTCAAACACCAGGCTTAGTCGATCACTATCGTCAAACTTTAAATCAAGTTGACAGCGATCATGAGAGTACCAAAGCATGGAGTCAAAGAAATGAAATTACCAATTGTGAAGGAAATGGCATTAAGACAATTATTACTAACAAGGGTAAAATGGTGCGTTAATATAGAAATTTCCTTTTAATGTCATCCTGTTGCTAAGCTTGCTTAATATCTAGTGCATCGATTAACATATTTCCCTCTATACATAGACCAAATAAGCTTTTTTATGATCTATTAAGATGAATAATCAAAATTAAATGATCAAAAGATCTACAGTAACTTTTACTATATCATAGTCATGTAATTACATTTGCCTATTTTAAATCTACCTACATAGCCTATAAATGACATGATAAAAATATAAAATAGATATTTGTATCCAGTATTACGGTCTCTTGAAGATAAGTAGTCTAAATTTGATATGACTAAAAGATCGATCGTAGTTTTAGAAGAAGACGTAGTAGATTTTTTGTTACAATATCAAACTATTAATCTATAGTGTAGCCTATGATATACCCTTTTCCTGCAACTGAAAAAAATAAATAAGTTTTTAGGGTCCATCATAGCTGAATAGTCGAAGTGAAAACGATTACAGGATCTGTGATAGCTTTAGAGTGAGATCTGATGAATTTATTATTGAACCATAGCTATAAATCTATAGTAGCCCATGACCTCCTACATCTTTTCTCTATACGACTAATATAAATAAATTTCGTGATCCATCGAAGATGAATAAAAAAATGAGACGATTAGAAGTTAGTTTTAGAGTGAAATAAGGCGAATGTATAAAATATCATAGTTTCAGAATTGATTTATTGTGACTTTAGAGTAAAAATCAAGACAAAAATGTTACTCTATGTTAAAATATCGATTGCTTTAGAATAGAATAGAATTAGAGTATCTTTTAAAAATTTTATGTACGCTTATTTCAATTTCTTTTAATGCTATCCCTCCTTTAGAACGAACCTAAAAAACAACTCATTGAATACTATGATCAAGAACCGTTATCCTATGATAATGAAAGCTTAATCCAGTCATTGCGTATTGCCTTGGAGAATGACTCCAACTGTGGAAATTATTTTAAAAATTTCTTACAGCAGTCTGGTTGTGATCAGGTAACGTCAAGTTTGAATACAGCAGTGATTTTCTACTAATGGTTCTTATAGGGTGGGATAGCAAGAAATCATTTTATTCTATTTTTACTTCGTATAGTAAAGGAATACAGTAGTAATCTTTTATAAAAGGATCATAAGTGCTTCGAGTAATACTGTTATAATAGCTGCTTCTTGTAAATAGACGATATTGTTTAGTTATTATTAATTTACTTTCTGCAGAGTATTAAAAATTGCCATCAGTTATGGCATGATATACTGGAATATATTCAATTCTTTCACGAAGGTACTTTTAACGAATTTAAAGTGGGAAGCTTCGCCAAGGTAACTGAAGAAATAGTGCGACTATAATTCGATATTCTAACAGCAGTCTTATAACTGGTTAATCATCTAAAAAATTCTAAAGCTGGTAATTTAAAGTATGCATATCCTACGATTTATTCTCCTAATAATTGTTACCACCTTTCAATCGTGCAGAGAATTTTTAGCGACTATATATTGCCTGGTAGCCGATTCAATATTCATTGTAACGAAAAACTACGTAAAAAGGTCATTAAGCAACTGGATCCGCCTTATGAAGATTTATTTGATAATATTGAAGATTTTATTTTAAGAAAATTATTACCGCCTTGGAAGAATTTCTTACAATTTGATAAAGAAGAACTATCTAAAGTCAGTTCGATCTTTCAAATCTTAGCGATTGCTCATAAAAAGAACTTAAAATAATTATCTTATTTGCGGTAGTTCCCTTCTAGGCAATCTACCATTTTAGTTTTTTATTATTTTGAAAAATTAATAATGGCGTTAAATATTTTTAAGACAAAGTCTATGTAGTGTACATGGACCTGTATACAGTATTTAAACTAGATAGGTACAATGGCCTTAAACTGATGTATGAAATATCTTTCATTCTACACATATTTTAGTTACCAAAAATGTCCATTTTAAGATATGTGGAAACTGAAGAATTTATTCCAATTTTGCAACGTGGGATCGGAGTTTATTCTGAAGACTGTGATACAGAATCAAGTTTATACATGGATTCATTTGAATCTATGCTAAGTCAGCACAGATCGGCCAAGGTTACAGCAATTTCACTCAAGTCACTTAAAAATTTTTGTCTTTGATTGGCTGAATTGTCGGACTAACGTTTTCTTATGTACTTGGTTAGAAATCAGATAAAGATTCTGTTAGCTTTATGGCTGCAGCCTTGGAAGCTCTCAATGGGCAGCATTTTGTCGATGGTAAAGGCGATACAGACAGCGTAGATGGCTCCAACAGTGATAGTAGTTTTTCAGATGATGACAGTGACCTTAAAGGACCGCAGACATTTCAGAAGACATTAAGCAATCGTAGTGAATTAGAGTTTCTTCGTAAATTTTTGGAAGAGAAACAATCTGTCAATGATTTACTATGTTTCCTTGATATTGAGGAATATCGTCGAGTGCCCCATACAGATGGTGCAACACGAAATCTATTGGCTAGCCAAATTAAAGAGAAATACCTAAATAGGAAATATTTTTTCAATGCTAATAGTCCTGCTAATAAAATGGTTCAAAAGAAAGTAAGTCGGAAGTAGATGATTTTAAAATATTTTCGAAATAATTCGATTGCTGTATTCAATAAAAATTGTTACAATAACAGTTCCCATGGTCATTTACACAGAAACAATTTCAGTATTTAAGTATCCATTATTAAATTTCTTTCCTCTAAGTTCTAATTAATTGATTATTAGAATGCCTATAGTGATTCTGTGCTTGCTTATCCACTTCCATTGTAGCCTTCTAGACAATTATCGTTAGCTATCTCTTGCTACTCTGATCTTCAAATAATGTCCTATTCTACTGTATATTGCTTCGATAGACTAGTAATCCGTTTTAGCTGCTTCTGTCATTATTTTTATACTCAATATTTCAATAATGTCCTATTGTAAATTATCTAGACAGACTAGCAAACCGCTACAATACATCCTTGACTCTCCTTTTCACTATGTTAGCATTAAAGTGATGGGCTATAGGGAATCATCCATAACCAGATTACTATACAATCATTAATAACTGCCTTTTGCTACTCGAATATTTAAATAGTTTTCGATAATATGATATTTAAATAGATTAGTAATAGCTATGCAACACCTATAACTGCCCTGTCCGATTGCAAGATTTGAATAATATTCTTTACTAAATTACCCATAGGCAAACTGCTATATAACTGTCATTACTTATTACATTTTACAACTCTACTATTTAAGTAAAACCCTGCTGTAAATTATCTAGATAGACTAATAAAATGCTACACCTCGGCTTGACCACTTCATAATATGTTCTTACACTAAGAAGATATTTGAATATGTTTTATAGAAAATTATCCAGATGTAGACTTTTACAGATTCATCATCGGTTACCTCGTACTATTGTAAATTTCTAAAAACTACTATACGTACAAGCAAACTGCAATAATATATCCTCAGTATTATAGAAAGAAACTGTCATGTTCACATCTTTCACTATTCTTGAACCATTCCAATACTGAAATCAAAATTCTATTCTAAACTATCTAGATCTATACTGCTATGCATTCAAGTAATAAACTTTATCCGGATTGTCCATCATCATCTACATTAATCAGTGTGCAAAAGATTTTAAGAGCTAGACTTCAGAAGCATTGGTTTCCCTTATTTCTACAAACCGAAGATTTTAGAAGGAGAAGAGCACAATCAATGAACGCTAAATTATTCAACTTTAATTGTAGCAACTCACAACAGGGCTCGGCATTAAAGGTAATTGTGTTCGATAAGTAATAGGTAATCGTGTTCGATATTACACATAATTAATCAAACATGAATCGAAATGAATTATAGGATGATCATTACTGCACTGATCGGTAATTCCTGCATTAAGTAAAAGCTGTTTTTTTGTAATTTCTTACATCCCTGGTCTAGCTCCTGCGAAGTCGATGGAAATCTTCATCATATGATTTAATTTATCTTCGAAAAACCTTAATTGATGCCGAAAAATCAGTTAATTTTCAACATTTCCTAGTTGCTAAACATAATCTTTTAGAAAGCAATGTTTTATTTTGGCGAGAAGTTCAAAAATATAAGGTAATCTTGTCTCTATGATATTTTAACGGGATTTTTATATCTTATATACTCATATATTTATATAGCATAAATCAATAAAAGTACTCATTTCTATTGATTTTATGTACAATGATAAACTGAAAAAAATTAGCTAGTGCATGAGTTCAAACTAAGCGTATTCCAGCTTCAATTGGTTGTATTAAGCATCTAATTATGTCAGTCGCTCACTACCACCCAATCTAAACATGACTTCAGTATGAGCGTAGTTAAGTGATTTAGATTGAAGGCCGAAAAAATGACGGACTTAGTTATATATCTGTAAATTATTGACATATTTTTAAAAATTGTGGCATGAAGTTAGTTAATTGTCCAAAATTTCATGCGCACGTCTAACTCTCTAAATGTAGCATGACGAGTTAAAATCATGTTTAAGCTATACATGAGGGTGCATTTTAAATTTTTGTTTAGGAATTATGTCATTCTCATGCGGAAATTACCTTCAGAATCAGTAAAGCGAAAGCCATCATTAGTCGATTTATTGATTCGGCTGTTCCACCACGCATACAAATTAGCATATCCGTAGATATTGCTAATCGTATTGTTGATCAGCAGAGGCAGGCTGGACCTTATATATTTCGTGAAGCACAGGTAAGAATGAATGATTTTTGATTATATTACATATAGGTTAATACATAAGTCCTTTCTCTCGGCAATATATAATAAGTATTAACCATACTATTATAGCTAACAGTATTCCGCGGCCTCTTTGGCTATTGGGGAGCGTATCGAGCCTTAGAAGCTACAGTCACTCCTGATTACTTTGCTACTGCGGCCGAAGAAGCGAAAAAACAAAGAAGAGAAAGATTTACTATTTATAAAAAACAGATAGATGAAGCAAATAAAAATAATCAAATGGAAGATAGCAGTATTGGTGGCGATAGTATCGGTGTCATAGAAGATAGTGTAGAACCTGAAAAGTTGATTAATGATCATCACACTTCATTTCGTTATTCGATATATTGTAAGGAAGGTATGGCTACCGACAATGTTGACATAAATGCTACCGAAATCAATCAGAAGAAAAATGAAGATGTTATTGATATTAAGAGTGTAAATGGTGAAGAAAAGGAAGAAAAACTGGAGAAAAAACAACTGCCTCCACGATCAAAATCTGCACGTTACAGAAGAAAAATTTCCGATTCACTGAAGGAGAAAGAAGAGCAATCTAATGTGATAGATAGAATCGGACTAGAATTATCGACAACGAAACAGCTCGATAAAGAGGATGTATCAGCCAAAATCACTGTTGTAAAAAATAAATCTCGCCCTTCAAGTGCTTCTTCTGCTTCTATCATGACTCAGTCTCCTCGTTATACTACTTGGAAAGGTAACTCTAGCCCAAATTTATCACCTAAACTATCAAAACAGGTTCATTTGAGTGAAAAGGACGTTACTAAGTTGAAGGTCAGAACTCAGTTGCGTCAACGATCGCATTGGCAACAAATCGTCAACCCATCTTTACCAACCTGTCAAGAAATTATATTACGGCGATATGCAAATAAGTTCGAAGTCAAATCGAATCATAAGAAACATTAATGTAAGGTAGTACTGTTAATACTACAATTGATCGAGATTTTTGTATCAGGTGGGCTTGTACGTGCTACACGGAATGACTTGCTGTAATATATTTGTTATGTACTATAATTTTCTTGTAAAGACAAGAAATCTTTATATTATATTTCGTTCCTCACACAAGAAAAATATCAATTATTTATTAACTGTTTAAACGGTGATAAGCGACTGTATGTAACTACCTATTGCACAGATACGAGAAATAAAAAACAAGTTAACATCATCTTGAAGTAATTTACATACAAAATAAGGTGTTAAAATATATGTACATGGTCAAAAATTATTTCTTCATTAATAAATATTCGAGATATTTTACCGCAAATTATAGTAGAACGTTTGCCTAGAATATTTATATTAAGAAAAAAATAAAACACTATAATGTACAGTGTACAAATTGTACATTTATCCAACTCACCGAATAAGATGACAATAAAGCACGCAAAATACAGATAAATCTTGATTAAGATTGTGATGAAAGTTAGAATACGATACGGTACATTGGTATTGAATATGCGACAAAATTAATATTTAAGTGCATATATACAGTGATAACATTAATAGAAATGAGTTATAGTAATAATACTGCTGCTTTGATGATGTAAATAGGTTATATGCAACTTAACCATCATCTGTTAAATATTGGCCTATCAAATCACCATAGTAGGCTGTTACTGTTTTGACCTTTCCATTAATGATATTTTGCTCAATTTCAACTTTACCTCCTATTCCGGCAAGTTGCGTTAACTAAAAGAGCGAATGTCTGTAAATAAACAGTATTCAAGAAATGCAAAATAATACCACCTATCTTAACGACATACACGTACCTGGGAGACGTTAGCAGTGCGCGGTACGAAGTATGCAATATTCCTCGAAATACTAAGTGATTCCGCAAATATACGATACCTAGTGATGGAAAAGGAATATAGACATTACAGAAAATATAAAGGCATAGCTAATAAAAATTTATTCGTAACGTCACGAACCCATCTAAGCTGATCATGGTTTTTATATCAAAAGTATCCGCTTTTAAATACGTCGGCCCACCCCAAGGAGGGCTAAGAAAAACTACGTCTGCCTAGATTATGTTCAGATATTTTGGTAAGATGTAACATTGCTCTAATCATTAAAAATTTAAAACTTTCTGAAGGTAAAAATTGGATCTATTATATATCCGAAAGAAATAGCTTCAGTCTTTACCTTTAAAGAAGGCGCTAACTGCAAAAAATCTCCAACAATGAATTCGATTTTATGCTCGACATTGTAAATTTTAGCGTTGTGACGAGCACATTTTATTTTATTAGGATCAATATCTATAGCAATGACTGAAGGCGGACGAAAAAAATCGTTAAGCATATTGAAAAAGAATATATACGCAACCGATAAGTAAGCTATAGGGAAAATTCAATTAATCCAGTAAATAATTGCACTACATACCATGGTCACAAGTTTTAGCAAATTGTATACAATTTCCGCCAACACCACAAAATGCATCTATGATGATGCTACATCGACATCGTTCGGCTATATGCTGTGCAATTTTTTCAGGGGTTACAGAAAACCATCCCTCTAAAATTTCACGATATGCAAATATATACGGTTTTAAAAATAATACATCAGAGAGCAGAGGCATTTACACGAAGTTATTTAATTCTAGAAGTTAACAAACTGCCAATACTAATCTAACCTTCATCGAGCATTATTCCTTCGTCAAATTTAGAAAAAAGCCTATATCTCTGAACCCAATACTTGTAATGCTTACGATTCAATGGCTAAGGAAGAGATGAATTATTTAAGTTATAGTATCCACACTAATAACCTAAGTCATCATAATTTCACAGTACCTTCACCGCAGGCACATTTGATGCGAAGTCAACTGGCTCTCCTTCATCAGTTCTCACTATATGATGAGAGGCCAACGACACGCGTAATCAAAATATTATATGTTAGTATTACTGATGTATAGGAGATTTCTTTTTATATAAAATACGCTAAATGAGATTTTAATTTATTACTTGAAGAATTGGGGGACTGGTTGATTTGTTCGTAATCGGATGACTAAGAAAACGGATAAGAATATTGTCGTAACTTTAATTATTAATCCATCATTTTTTAAATAGTACGGGTAAACATTACCGCATGCAACATTACAGCCTAGAAACTACATTTTGGAAAATAAAATTTATCGCAAATAACTCGATAAAGTAAATGTCCAGAATATCAACAATGATGTTAAAACGAATTAATTCTACAGGATGGCGTATCGGCCAGCGCTAATTTCATCATCTATGTGATCAGTTAGCCAACTTACTTCATCTGAGTCAATAAATTTATAATGCACTAAAGGTCTTTTAAGATCACTATTCATAAATTTTTTCTGTAGTTTTTCGTTCAGGTAATGAATTTTTTCATTTTGACAATGCACCCTAAGTAAATATTACAACAGTTAGCCATCGTTCGCTATATAAAGTGCTTCTAATCAATGTGATATACCTTGGTGCAATTTGGAGGCCCAATGCATCGTAGATAATACGAAAATCCTCAATTAGAGGCATTTTCTGTTTTTTAGTATTCCTGTGTCATCGGCAGAAATTACATAATGTTTAGCTATGTAAAAAGCCGAAATAACTATTTTCATCATTGTATACTACCTTGATTTAGGCTTTTTTTTCTTTTTTGAAAGTGAACTGGTTTTTACTTTATTCGTTGGATTATTGACATGAATAGCAGCTTGATCATTTACTGTTGATACACAGACGTCAACATCAGTAATATTTTGATCTTGCTGTGATTGACTTTTTGAGTGAGAGCTGGTTTTTACTTTATCCGTTGGATTATTGACACGAATAACTTGATCATTTACAGCTGATACACAGACGTCAACATCAGTAATATTTTGATCTTGCTGTAATTGACTATCTCCTTCATTACATTGAATAGATAAATCTGCTTGATCTTGCGTAGATATTGATGGTAAAGGGGTTTCGTTGTATTTGCTTGTTTCTATATTTGAGCCGCTATCAGGCGCTTCTGTTTTTACAGGCAACGATGTCGATGACGCATTATTGATTGACTCATCATTTTCTTGAATCCAAACACCAGTATCACACCAATTTTTGTATAAATGGAAAGAGCGCCAATAACATTGATTACAATGGTCTTGCCAATCTACATTACAATCATCTTTCCATTCTGTATTTACGATTTGTATACCGTATTTTTCCCAGTATTCCTGCCATCCTTCTAGTTCAGTCTGTTTCTTTGCTGGTTCATAGCTTTCTAAATGATGGTTATCTGTCATTAAATTAGCGTCATCTTCATTAGCCTCTTCTTTCATCCGGTTGATCTTTTTTTTCCCTTTCTTCTTTTTTCCACTGTGACTTTTCCTTGCCTGATCCTGGAATTATAATTACCGTGGTTATTTTATTGTTTAGGCTAATATTATAATTAGCCACCTAGTGAAGCACCTAACTAAATAATAAATTACTGTTTAATTCTGTATTAAAACAGTTTCTACAATTTTACGTCCGTCATGCTCCTCCCTTTTTCGTACCTCATAATTGGAATTTTGTTTGTTTGAACCAAATGCAGTCGGTAATCCCATGGTTTGCATCAGTTGCATAAGAGATTCATCTTCATTTTGAACGGTATTTAGATTATCTATAGGGAATAATAGAGATATGAGAATAGGAAATACTTTATAAGAGCAGGGATTTATTGTCTTAACATCAATCGTAGATGAATTTGTGAAAATTGTACAGAGTCTCTTATTACCATCAGATAATAATAAACAGTTGTCAAGCTTAATTTGATGATGATTAGAATGAGAAATACAATTGCATAATGTAACAGTACTGCTATTAACTTACTATTAATAACATAAATATCTAAAGATAGGAAATTAGGATCATTCATGTACTTGAAATAAAGTTAGTGACTCATTGTTCAGGTATTGGAGCAATTTGTGTATATAATTGAAAGATGACCTGAACGTAATTAAGGGTAAACAATTTCTTGCATGGATCAGTGTATTGCAGATTTTGGTTGGAAATGTAGGTACAGTACAACCGTGGGCTACCAATTTCTTAGTAGTCTATATGATACAACGTATAATTTTACGTCTCGATTCTCATTTACTGTATATGTAGTTTAGTAAGAACTGCAATAGATCATATAGTACGATCACAAATGATATCAACGTCCATAATTCCAATTCCAATTACAGTACAGTACAGTACTGTACACAGTACACGATATAAAGTTACTGAACCTCTGTTAAATGAGCACATTATCGTAAACCGTCAGTAAAGCGACGGGAGTTTGCACTAGTCTATACAAAACGCCAAGATAACTTTGCCTTCTACAGTAGGTAGTTCATTTATTTGTTAAGCTAACCTTCAGATTGACTTGATGTGCAGAACAGATTGGGCTGCCTGTGGTAGAAAGAATTGCCTTGCATAAGTAACAATCTACTTAAGCATACTGCTTGAAATATATAACGATCACGAAATTCCAAATCTTAGAAAAATAAGGACTGTATTGAATCTTCTATAAAGATTAACTACACAGCTCTACTCCAGCCGAATACTACTACTAAAGATTTCTAGAACGAACTAACTGAAATAATCTAAAGTTGCATGCTTTTATACTTTTCGTAGCATTCGCAGCTACAATCCGCATGACACCTTTTACCTTATTTTACACATAGTAAAATTATTCTTAGTAACACTATTCTACTGCGGACCATCATTAATCCGATATGGATACGACTATAGTATTTACGTAGACATTATTCACACCAGCCAAAGTACAATGAATTAACCATATCCTAATATATGATTTACAGTTCTAGTTTTACCTATAGCCTTATTAGTAACTCAACACCTTACTGTATGTAGTCATCTGTACTCTAGCACTACACTGCATATCTACAAAATATCTACACTGCTATATATCAAAATTTACAGCTAATTAATCATCACACTACTACTAGTGTGCAATCAATTATGTTTTCTGCTATTAGTTTGCTATGCTCGTACAATACTGTACTGAATGGAATTCAGTAGTGAAGAACGACATCAGGCTGAGTACAGTACATTATACTAACACCGTCAACCACTTTAAATACTATCATTACTTTATAGGTGCTTTGGTTAGAAAAAGAACAACAGTTGCTGCGTGTGGGCTTGTAAAACCATTCAGGGTTATCTTGTTTTGATTATTCAATGGATTGGAAATGTGCTGGACAGGAGTGGAGACCTGCTGAGGCTGTAAACTGCATTCAAGCTTGGCTTGCAGTTTGACGTAACTTGGAACGTTGCAGGTTGTGAAAGATTCGGTAGGAGAATTGCTAGTCAGGCTATCGGCAGCTTCTACGCCGTTATGAGATGCTTTTGTGGGCTCTTCACCTTGAATATCTTGTGATATTAGTTGATCCGATGGAGTTTCAATAGTAGTCGCTTGGTCTGGATTGGAAGGAAAGGCAAACATTATCCATTGACAAATGGCGCAAACTACTTGGTACACACTTGTATCAGGTGGCCGAGAAGAGTCGCTAGTACACTATAGTATTATAATATTATTTCTACGCAGTACAGTACGGTACGTACGTACAACGTGGTGTACAGTACAGTACTGTCATTTGTTGCACAGCGCACACTCAGTCATTCATGATACACTCGATGCAAGTACAGTGTACAGTATTACGCATTACAGCGTTATACAGTACAGTACACGTCAGTACACAGTATACAGTCGTAAGATCGTCAATAATAACAGTAGGCATGGAAAGGTTTACTGTAAATGATAATGATAATACAGATACTGTATACAGTAATATAGATTTATATTAGATTCGGCGACTACTGTAGTGTGCAGTACTGAGAGAGAGAGAGAGCAGTAGTCCCTGTTGGATTCAATCCAATAAATCGATAGTAATGAGCGCTTGAAAAATTACTATTAATAATGCATCTACAGTATAAAGTATATTTATACAGTACAGTACATACTGTATTCAAATACTGTACATCATACTGTACAGTACAGTACAGTACAGTACAGTACAGTACAGTACAGTACAGTACAGTGAACAACTTAACTGCATTGCATCATGCGTCATGCGCAATGCACAATGTGCATGCTTGATGAGCCTACACTATATAGTGTACAGTACACGTTGATGGCACTATGGCAGCCAATAATTAATTTCAATTTCAATAATATGAAAATTGATATAATGTATAGTACCAAGTTATTAGTTTAGTCATTATATCAGTAATTGCAGTACAGTCATAGAGAAATGGTCAGTGCGACTTTCTATTTGATTGACATCATCTTTATGGATAACTTAGCAAATAGGAAATTGAATTAATTTAGGCATCGATCGATGTAACCCAGGAAGCAATCCCCAACTAGTATAGATGCTACACCTTCAGCACGATAGACACGTACTCACAAAACGTACTCACAAAATGATAAATTACTGCATAAATAGTCGTGTAGAAGGAAAGAAAGTCGGCAAGAGGCCGCTTATCTGAAGTTGACTACATAAAGTTGACGATATGCTTGTAGTCTTAAACACTTATAGGAAAGTTTACATCGCATCTGATTTAAGGTTTTTTGTGCATCTAATCTTCTGCTGTCAAGGTTGCATACGATTTCAAAAAAAATTGTGTCGATGCGGCACATTGCCGGTGGCTACGATATCTTTGAAGCGCTCAGTAACTATTTATATAGCTAATCACGAAACATCGGCTGAAAATATTCAAATATAAATGCTACGGTTATTCTTTTAAAATATTGTAAAACAAGATCGCGTTAATTTGTTTGATTGCTTGAATAGTTTTAGTTACTACTGTACAGTAGATAGGCTCGTAATTTAAATAACAAGTAACATCGCGATACAACTAAGTAGTGTATAGATATATACATGCATATAAATGCTACAACTATACTAGTCAGTAGTTACTATGTGCTGAACGTTTACATCAACTGCCACTGCTAGATTACGTGAACACCAACTTATTACTGTCAGTTCTTGGCTAGTATTGCCATGTAATCGTCATCAATAATTCTACGGCGTAATAACAATAACAAAATAACATAAACATCAACATTTGCGGTTGTACAGTTATGTTTCTCTACTAACTAAACCATACAGAATACAGTCATAGCAATATCGACATTGATTTTTGATTCATCAGTCATTCCAGAAATTGCAACCACTAATTTACCGTTAAAAGAAATGGTTTTATTTGTACTTCTATTTTGCTGGATTAGTTGCAAGATGGAGAACGGCAAAGAAAACGCTTGTTCCTTGATTACTTTCGTTACATGTTTATTGTTCATTATGAATACGTCGCTTTGATCTTCGCATATAGCTCGTATTGCAGAATCAACTTTGAGTAATAGTTCTGTCGATGCGCTACCTCCTGATTGAGGATGCGATTGTAGAGAAGTAATTGCTTCCATAAATTAGCGCGAACTAAACACGTTTAACTTGACGGTAAATCAATGTCAGATTGGAAGAATTTTTAACTTTGAAAATGACGATAGAGTATAAACAATACGTATATATAATGTTGCTGTATCATACAAGAAGCTTGTTGGACTAAATCTAGACGCCACGGTACAACACTACGATACGATTCGCGAGTGTATTAGACATGATCTCACGTAAATAATTAAAATCGCATCGGCATTGTTTTCTATGGCATAACAATGCATATTCTTGATGGCGAAAACAATATGACACTGTTAGGAGTATTGTTAACAGCTAGTTGTATTGTAACTACAAGGATTTCTTTCTATATTAACTTCTGCCAATGAGATCGCCCAAAGAGTAAGTAAAAATTATAAGTTAATAATTATAATTACTCCGTTAATTGATTAAATCGTACATATACATACAATAGCATGGGTCAGAAACTTAGAGAAGTTCGTGAGACCCTGATTCAGTACAGTAATCAAAACGGCAGTCAGCTTTTGCTATACTGTACAGTATGTACTATTAATTCTAATTATTCTAATTACGTCATAATATTGGCAGTATCTATTCACCTAAAAAGAGTAACGCAATATTTTGAGGGAAGAATGAATCACCTTTCACTATTTCGCTGACCTAAGAGTTGTTAAACTTCGAGTGATCAGAGAGCAAGAATTGCTAATAGCGATATCAATATATAATTAAATTAGGAGCTCTCTTTTCATAGTCTACTTTAAAACGTGACCATGGTACTGGTAATAGCGACTAGAGTCACTAGTCTAGAATATAGATATAGCAGAGATATAAAAATTCCCCTTTCTTATAACTCTATGGTGATTGTAGGCTATACAGTACAGTAGACCCAAATCCTTTTTGAATTTATTTTTCATATACCTCGCTGAAATTGCTTTGCCGATAGATTATCTCTTCTGCTAAAAAATTTTTAAAATATTGTCGTTTATAGTAGTGTACAGTACAGTATAATATGGTGTGAGCCAGTTCTCTTTAAAGTGCTATTAGGCAAAATAATTTGTAGTAAAGCCGCAAAAATTTGCCTAAATTTTATATTGATAGTGATGATTTTTTGGGGTAACTTAACCTTAATTAACTACTGTACTGTACACTGTTCTGTACAGTGTACAGTACTGCAGCACACTTTTACTCGTGCTTCTACAGTACAGTACGCTACAGTGTACAGTACAGTACTGTACCGTACTTCGCAAACTTTGCAAGTTGCAACAATAACACTGTACTGTACAGTACAGTTATTATGTACAGTACGTGTAGTATCAATAAAACGTAGAAAAAAATCAACTTTACAGATTCGATCGGAATCTTCAATATGGCGTCTCCGGATTATTTGAGCTATACCTACGGAATAATTGTATTGTTAGGAGGTATCAGTGGATATGTAAGAGCAGGTACATACATATATCTAGTGCATTAGCTGTAAATATTGGCTTTAACGTAGCGAATAATCGGATAACTAACTACTACAGCACAATTAGCTTTTACACGTATAATTGAGATTGCCTCATTTTGATTTGATTACACTACTGTTAGTTGGACAGGACAGGACGCCCAGCATTAAGCGATAATACCTAATTTTCATAAATTCTTACCTAGTTATGTCATATACATATACTAATTACTATACCTTATGATATTTTAGGTTCCGTTGCCTCTTTGATCTCCGGATTACTTTTCGGTGGCGTCGCTATTTATGGTGCAACAGTCACTAGTAAAAATCCAAGAAACTGCGCAGTATGCCTAGCAACTGCTTCAGTATTGCTCGCAGTCATGGCTTTTCGGTTTTATAGAACACAAAAACTCATGCCAGCAGGTCTTATAATGTTTCTAAGGTGAGATATTGCTTGATGACTGCTGATGATATTGGGTGTTACTGGCTCATGCGATGACAGATCTACGCGTTCTCATTGCTACATGACATTGTCGTACTAGTATGTTATATCGCCAGTATAAGCCTTTAGTCAATCGTTTATTATTCCTTTTTTAGCTGTACAGTATGTATTATTAATAGGGTTAGTATGCATCTGCTACGATCACATTACCATTAGTTGCCAGCGTAGGTACACAATGGTGCATTTCACCTGGTATTTTGACCTTAAGATTATTAAGCCAGTGATGATGCAGTAATATAGTGTTGTGACGGTTGTCTAAGATCTGCAGTACAGTATACTGTATTGCAAATTAATTCTCGATATTGAACTGCGAAGTACGCTGCTATTACGAACTGAACGATTGGGTACTTATACTGTACAAGTAGTTACAGTTCCCTAGGTACAGGAGATAAATTATTTCGAAGTAGGCTGGCTTTAAATTATTATCTAACCTTGAATGTTTCATATGAACTTGCTAATGTATGATTTTTGTGTTGTAGCTTACTGCAAGTAACGAGATTACTGGTAGGCCTTAATGAATAGGCGTCACGTACGTTCTCATTTGAATGAAAACTTAAAAGCTTAAAATTAGATTATAATAGTAATTATAGGATAGTCTTCGTAATCAGTTACCTTTTAAAATTGTATACAAATGTTATATCACTTGGTAATCTTACTTAAAGAGTCAAGACCATCGCTGTAATCGCCGAGGTTTTACGTTATAATTGATGTGATTGTAATTATAAATCAGTTGTAGAGGCAAAGCAAAATTATGCAACTTTATCAAATGCGTCTTGGCAAGTATTTTCAGTTTAAATAAAAGATTATGACTCATTTAATTTGTTTTATATTTTAAGAATTTATTCGTAGGGTAATGCCCATTTACAGTGTTGGTACAATACGAGTATAAAGTCAAACTACGATGTATAACGTGAATTATCAATAATTTGAGTTTTGGAAATGTGAGTGTATACAAGGATGTGATATATCATGAAACTCATCTTGAAGATTCTAAACCGCCAATTACTACCATCTTAAGTAATTGTTTATTATACTATGGGTTAATTGTATTATTAACCGTACATAACAGGGTCTTTGAAACCCTAGAAATGCTAACGCTATTTTAATTCAAACCACTGCATGGAATAGCTATATTAGATAACTATCAAGTAGCGATCTCTATTGGTGGATGAATCGCTGCTATGCGGCTACATCTTCATTCATGTTAATCAAATTAAGTATTAAAAGAATGTACAATATTGAGGTAAAGTTCTAGATACTGCTGAGGAAGTAGCAAGTAAACACACGAATATCAAAACATAAATAAATGACATAGGATTCATGGAATCGTTATTGCTTCCATCAACACGTATACCCGTATACGAACGCAAGTATACGTATATACGAGTATGTTTATATACATAGTATTCTTGTTTTCATCATGCTCGCATAACATTGCAATTAGTCGTTTACAGACACTACAAAAATTTAGTGCTGAAAACGATATTCAGATCATAAAGAAGCGATATTAAGAGACCAACAAAGGGCCACTTCCCATCTTCCCTGGCCACGCTTCCTTAGCATATACTTTATGCTTTTTCGTTGATAAGGTTTCGGAAGCAGAAACTTCATTCATCGGCAAATTACCAGCTGGAATTGGTACTGAAGGTAATGCTACTTCATCAGGAATAACTGGACCAACATCTGGAGCTGGATTAAGTCGAATAGATGACGTTAATCCAGAGAAAATCGAATATGAACCAGTTCCTACTCCAGTCATCATATTTGAATCGTCCTGGTCATGTTTGTTAATCGGTAGATTAATATAGTGGTCAGCGCCAGCAATCCCTTCGAAAGTATTCCTTTCAGTTCGTTGTTTCTAAATTAGATAAAAAATTTACAATAAGGCTAGCTCAGGAATACCTTTAACAAATCTGTAATTAGTAAAAGAACTTATAATATTAGCTAGGAGATAGAAGAACCAATGATGAAAACATTTGCTACGGGAAAAAGACTAAACAATTTTAGTTCGATAGTGCTTACTTTCAAGGGCACTACTGTTGATTGTACCATATTCCTAAATCTCCCAACGCTTGAATCGACATCCTCTGGAAAATTACAAACGATCATCAGTTATGCACTTTATCATAATCTATTATTTTATTACATCTACGTCGCATTTGTAACTTAGATTGTATAATAAATCTGCATAAAGGTAACAAATAAGTGAGAATACTTAATTGACAGAAACATTATAGGAGTACCTGTTAGCACCTTAATGGTATTGTACGTATAGTTAATTGTAAATATTATATTATGCATAGATGTACGCTATATATGAATACATACCGGGATTTATAATTTCCTCTTGGCCAAACTGTACCTTTAAGCGAGCTTTATGCTTGCGTTTACCGCTCATTAATATATCGTTAGACTTATCATTTTCAATAACCAAAGAAGAGATTCTTTTGTTATGTGCTGTATTATATTCTGTTAGATCCTGAAGGAGCGATTGATAAGCTATTTTACGATTGCAATCTCGTAGACGCATATAGTTTTTATCGTACATCATATACAGATATACTGGTATCTATTCTTATTTCTATTTATGGTTTATGCGTGCTGTACACGTATATTTTTTTATTAAACACAGGTTTACAGTCTGTGCAGCACCTATGATGCACTTACATCTAATTCGTTATCGTTTTCAGGCAAGGAGAGTAGACTTTTGACAGCGTTATCTTCACTATTATCGCCACCAACAGGTATCACCCTTGTCGGAGGCTTTTCTCTTATTACATAACATCGAGTAGAAGCACCAAACAGTATAGTGCTATCTACCGGTAACTGTTGCGGTTTATTTGCTTCTAACCTTACTGATCCAAGGAATGTCCCGTGCGCTGAAAGTGTAATTATCAGCATTAAATATGTGCATAGGCTTCAATTTACCGTACAACGGATCATAAAATAGATGACCAAGTGCCATTCGTGCGAATTCAAGATGTCAAATGCCATGATTTTTACATATTAGAAAAATTTTTGCTATAGTGAACACTAATTCGCTGAGCGTTGAGAAACCGAGTTCGGTACTTTAGCTCTATACTTGAACAACGCTATAAAAGTAATATTAGAAAATTAACACTTACTACTGCCAAGATCCATGATGAAAAATCGTTTTAACTGTTTATGGAACACTATTGCACTGTGAACACGAGAGCACGATTCATGGTTAAGAGGAAAATCGCAATTTTCGGAATTACGCCCAAAGAGGTAATAACTTTTTTCGTCAATTATTAATTTCTAAAATTAAGATAAAAACAAGGGATGAGTAAATAGCAGTATAGTATACTGTTCGTGGTAAAATATTACAAAAATGTAGTCAATACTCGATTTAACAGTCAATTGTCAGGTCTTACACGGAATACTGGTAAGGTAAAGAATCCTTTGATACTATGCGAACAGTACAGTGAACGTAGTTACGTTTTTTTTATAAATAGAATAAAAATAAAAATAAAAATAAAAGAAAATAATATGTACTGTATATACATAAGTATAATAAATAAATCCTTGTACAGTAGGGTACAATGTTTTCAAGATCGGTCGTATGCATTTTAAGTAAGTTGTTAGTGGTAGGCTACTAGGGTGTATATATATTTTGAGGTCAGTAGTAACTAGCAAGCATTCCTATTAGGAATTTAAATTAGAGTAAACAGATCTGAGAATTTCATTGTCAACATGTACTCGTATGCCTAGACAACTTCTCTAGTACATATAAGGTCATAGTTTAGAATGTTGTGCAGATCCGGAAACAGCCGTATATCGTATTACAAACTAGAGCAATATAAGGTAAGAGCACGCTGCTTAATTATATAATTATTGTACTCGTATGAACGTATATAACATTTAAAGAAATTTACGAACTTGTCCTGGGATATGGTCATTAACACTCTTTATCCAGCAGACAAGGTTAGAACGTAGAGTTCCACCAATTATAGTACAGTAACTGTACAAGCTAACGTATACAGGTAAGGTATAGTGCACTATACTTATTATATAAATATCATTATTACCGATGTTTACCAAATAACTACCAATAGGGTTGAATTACACTAGAATAAAATTCAATTTAAGATTAGAAAAAGTCTTCAAATCGAAGTTATGTAACTGATTGTTAACAAGCGTAACAACGTAGTTATGGTAAGTATGAAGTAGAGATGTTCAAATTTTTGCATAAAAAGTACGATAAATTGAGCAATCCTATATTGTTAAATTTTTTTTTGTATGAAACGTGTATTCAATTAAAGTAGTGATTGTCATACTTCAAATTAGCGCAATCGATTCTCAAGTTAGTGTTGATGTATAATATTGGTAGGACTATATTCGTATGATAGTCGAATTACTGGAGAATAATCGTGTATTGACTTCGGATTCCGAAGTGAACAAGAAGGAAGTTGCAAAACACTGGTATTAAGTCTGTTGTGCAGAGTGTACAATAAGCATAAGCGTACATTGGATTATATCTATATAATTATTGAATCTTAAAGACAGATGATGCATGTGCGCTTTTGTAGACAGCATGCTATGAAGTGAATGTTATTACAGTCTGCTGTATTACGCCCGCTCATAAAAGTGGTCACTTTCATTAGTTAGCGAGGCAGTGGATTTCTTGATTTATTTACTTCAGATATAGCTGTGACTTCCTCATGGTGTGTGTATTTATGTACATACATGAATTATACGTATTTCAGACCTTGCTATAAGCCTGTGACTATCAAATAGTTAGCAATGCAATAATCATATAATGAACTATTGCTGTAGTTCATTTTAAAAATTTTTTTGTCAGCAAATCCTTTGCTTTTATGTTTTAGGTATAAGAATATTAAGGTTGAGACGTATTGTAGTAATTGATAGGGTATCTTTCTCTTAATCTTTTACTTTAGCATGGATATACTGATTCAATTTTAGTGATGCTGCTTTTTAATGAAGGGAATTTTAATTCAAAGACATGGTTACAGGAAGACAATGACATCCTGAAATCGAATTAAGGCATAACTGCTACATTTTGTAACCTTTTGCAGTAAATGCGTTTACTTTAGTACACTATGATACTGTATTGTTAGGGATTACTGTAGAAGTTACAGCGTCGATAACTTGAGACGACTACCATCCATTGATGGCAAGTTGATAGCAAGTTGATGATACTGTACTGTACAGTAGATGATTTTAATTCGATGTATCTTATAACGTCATTGACAAGATATACCGGGTATGTAAGGGCTTCAATACTTTAAAATGATTCCTCTACATTTCAATAAAAAGTATTTCACTGTGTACATCAACTAACTAAATAAGAACATAAAGTTCATATTGATTGCAACATGTCTTCCGCTGACTACGCATAGGCTATAATACTTGCTACAAAATATCTTATTGGACTAATTTCATTCCATAATCCTTTTATGAAAGTTCAAGCATATCCGTTCTCTTCAAATTGATAATCCATAGTCTATTTTGCTACAGCTGATACAGAAGAGTATTGGTGTACTATTATTTATGTAAAATATAATGGCAGATATCGCCTGGATTTATTATATATATAAATAATCATGGTCAAGACAAGATTTGGACCAAAAGCGCATCCAATTTACTCCAGTGGCCTGGCAAACCAATGAAATGTATTGTGTCATGTGTAAGCTTGTCAGTGGCCAGTGGCCACTCGGTGGTCAAGTAACAGTAAAAGAGAGCAAAGACATGTATAGGTACTGTATGTAACCATACTGTCAATTGAAGTATATGACATACTACATGGTAAACAATTGGTCAATGCATACCTCAACCAAAGTACCATTTTTCATTACATCTAAATGGAAACCAGCAGTCGGTTTACCAGCCCTAAATAGGATAGATCAGCCATGAATTACTACTGAACTGGCTATATAGCATTACTGTAAACGATGCCTATATTAATCAAGTCAATGTTTGAGAAAATTGTAAGCTAACTAACCACTTCGGTGGCTCAAATTTTGCCATGTTTATGCAAGAGCCTACGGGCTCGACAACATCAAGCTGATTAGTCCCCAGTCCAATAATGAATACTGGTAGGTGTTGCGCACGTTTTTAGCCAGGGTTGTGTTACTTGTGTAGTCAGCGTACAAGTCGAGTCAGCGTTATGGCAAGGAGTCAGGGACTCACAGTACAATATACTGTACAAAACGAGTGCATAGTACTGTACTGGACTGGACAGTACTGTACAGTATAGTGTACAGTATGTACAGTACAGCGCAGTACAGTAGTAGTCTCCATCGAGCAATAGTCAGTGGCTCAGTGCACAAGTCGGAGTCAGCGTTATGCAAGGAGTCAGGGACTCACAGTACAACATACTGTACAAAATGAGTGCATTGTACTGTACTGTACAGTACAGCAGTAGTCTCCATCGAGCAATAGTCAGTGCACAAGTCGAGCCAGCGTTATGGCAAGGAGTCAGGGACTCACAGTACAACATACTGTACAAAACGAGTGCAAAGTACTGTATTGGACCGTACAGTATACTGTACTGTACAGTACTGTACAGTACAGTACAGTACCTTACAGTACAGTAGTGTAAACTGGACTGCAACATTCGCTACTTAAGTACCGGGTCGTACCATTCAATACTGTACACGGTACAGTACAGTTCAGTCGCTTGCGCGTCAGTCTCTGCTGTCACAAGTACTGTACTGTAGAGTACAGTAAGTACGGTACGCTCGATGTCATACAAATACTCTCTCTCGTGGTAAGAACACGATCGACATAAAAAAAAGAACGTTCTCTTGTGTTCGAACGCGCTCTTAAACAGTGCATAAATGCAATGCACTGTACACTGTACACTGTACAAATGTACTGTACAGTACATGCGCTATTGGCTTCGGGAGTACAGACGGATAGATTCAGCTCCACACCAGATTTTTACTTTGGCTCCTTCTCTTCTGTAGTCACTGAGCCACGCACGCGAACGAGGTAAAAGCATGCTGCCGGTGAGTAATGCTGAGCGAGTGGAATGTTGCTAATTGACTGATGAAATTGAATGGTTGAGACCTGAAAACTTCATCCACAATTTCAAATATATTATGATTGAATTAAAATGAACTTATTTGCAAAGTAGAATACTCACTTACGGTATCTATCTTATATAACAGGTAGGTATCGGCAACATCATTGCAGCATGACGTTCAATATTAAAGGTAAATGGCAGTCTATAGCCATCGATTGCGAAGAAGGTATTGAGCTAGATCAGCTGCAAGGATTAGTCTCTTTTGAAGAATTAACCGATTATACTATAACAGATGGTACAGGAAAGGTAATCAATAATAATCATGCCGCTAATACTATCGATGACTAGCTATGTAGTTCCAATGAATCCCAATACTTGCTGCGTAAATGGAGTAATATTATACAAGAAAATACACGTAAAGTAGCTGACGTTGTTCGTTAATGGACTCTAGTTCTAATGCCATACGTAGTATGCATTTCATCTCAACGATGTGCATGTAATTGTATACAGTACAATATCATCGATCTGCTTTTAAGTTATTGATCTCTTAATAAACAGGTCAGCGAAGTGACCAATCGTTCCAAAAATAAATCTGTAAAAAAGACCCCCAAAAAGGACGCCAATAAAGTTGAAGAAGAAAGTACTGTTGAAAATCCACACGATGATGGAAAAGGTAAACTTATTTTCATTCTATACAGTAGAAGCATCTTTACTATAGACACTGGATACTCTTTTTCTCTCTTTGAGTGACTTTGTCAAGTTTGTCTTTACTGACAGCGATTTTGCTTGTAAGTGAATTCTTCAAAGCAAACATCGGGTCATATACTACTGGACGCGTATACTGTACTAAGTACTAATGCCTATATGTGTAAATGTAGTTGAAAGAACTGTGATGAGAATCATACTGTAGTTATTTTCTCCTTTATGACCAGCTATATGGCTAATACAGTACTGTACTACCATGGTAATACGTGTTAAACTTGTATATATATATAGATAACGTGAACATGAAAGCATGGGACTCGTTGCAAGTTCCAGAACCTGTCCTCAAAGCTTTATCCGATATGAATTTTTTAACACCAACTCCCATTCAGTCGCTATCTTTGGTAGCAGCTATCCGTGATAGGAAAGATATCATCGGAGCTGCCGAAACGGTTTGTTAAATGATATATATACAAGTATTTAGTAAACGTACCACCTATGGTACGTGAATGTAGCTGCAATTAAGATCCAGGTTATACCTATCTATCAATAAATTTTTCTATATTTTTGATTATAATGGACAATCGAACTTTACTGATAAGTGTTGGTGGTATATGATGAAAAAACTTCCTTTACATACAGGGCTCAGGAAAAACGTTAGCTTATGGGATTCCAATCATTCAACGAATTTTACAACTCAAGGCAGGTAAATTTGGAGACACGTACTTTGCTAGTGCAGCTTTGAATTTCTTCGTCGGTAGCTACTAAATTAAGTAATTGATGACGACTTTTAATATTCAAAAATAAATATCAACTCTAGATGGTAAGAAATCGTCAAAAAGAAAGTGGGACAAAGCAAACAACAAGACAGAAGTGATCAAAGAAACCCCAAGCAAAAAAAGAAAGCATGAAAAAGGAGCAAAACCTACCAGCTCTACAAGTGACCAAAAATCGTCAAATAAAACTACAGTTGATAATATGGATAATTCGGAAGTTGCGGAAAGCCCTGTATACGCTTTAGTTTTAACGCCCACTAGAGAACTTGCACTACAAGTTAGAGACCATTTAAGAAGTGCTGCCAAGTATACCGACCTAAAAGTTAGTCTAAAATACCTACTTGCATTTCAAGAGTGCAACAAAACCAATTATCAGACGTATCTTAATAGCCACGAAAACTTTTCTGCAGATTGAAGCTATTGTCGGTGGAATATCTCAACACAAGCAACAACGACTATTAAACTATCAGCCTGAAATTATTATTGCGACACCTGGGCGCATGTGGCAGCTATTAAGCGAGGTTTTTTTCTTTTATAAATTCAATTTTTTGAAATAGTAAATTTTCTACGGTATATATTTTTTAACCTTTGTGATGTACTTTTTATAGTCTCAATCTTATGTTATGGCATTTAGGGGGAAAGCCATCTACAAACCATAAATAAGCTACCGTTACTAGTGCTAGATGAAGTTGACAGGATGATAGAATATGGACATTATGCCGAACTATCAGATATACTGGAGAGATTACCGGAACGTCCATTAAGACAAACTTTGGTTTATTCAGCTACATTGACCATAAATAAGAATAAAAAAGTAGAAATGAAAAAAAGTGTTAAGAAGAAGTTATCTAATGAAAAAACATTTGGTAAGTCTAAAACATTTTAGGGATATGTCTGTTTTGATTTTAATTTTTTATGGATAGTCTACAATCATACAGCCACAACAAGTCAGCATTATTTCTCCAGATGGTATAGTGATAATGCGTTACAGTTGTGGAAAAATAATTTGTGAAATTTTATTCGCGAATTCGATCCTGTTTTAGTTTTGAATTTGCTTTATAAATTCCACACTGCGTTTCCTGAGAGTTGGCTCAAAATGATCGTATTTGAGACCATAGCATAGAAACGCATATCTTGCCTGCTAAAACTTGTAGTGTTAACAAATCGTTGGTAAAGATATCTAAAATTATGAAAATTTTGGATTGGTATTTATATCATGTGGTAGATTATTAATTCAGTTGATACTTCACGTTTTTACACAGATGCTCTAATAGAAAAACTTAAACTTGATAAAAAAGTGAAAGTCATTAACCTAATAGAAAAAGATATAACTGTAGAAACTCTTGTAGAAGCACGAATCAATTGCATGGTTGATGACAAGGTATGATTTTACTGTTACTTTTAAATTTTTACGTATCGTAGCTAGTCTTGAATGAAGAACCTGATAAATAGCCATGTTAAAATTTTTATTTCAGTTGAGCTGCTTGTACCTTTTTTGTTTACTTTTTCCTGGTAAAACGTTGGTATTTGCAAATTCGGTATCTTGTATTAAAAAAGTTGTCGATATCTTCCGCTTATTGGAGCAACCGGCTTATCCACTCCATGCTAAGATGCAACAACGACAGCGTCTCAAAAATTTGGACAGGTTTTATTCAACTACTGTGATTTATATTAACATGCATACATGCGATCCTCATTTGATATAAAATTTATGTATATTATAGGTTCAAATCGTCTCCTAGTGGGATTTTATTTTGTACCGATGTCGCAGCTCGTGGAATTGACATCAAAGATATTAAATATGTTATTCATTTCGAGTTGCCTAAAGCAGCTGAGGTAAGCTATGTGAGATACAGCATAGCTCTATATCAGTTATTGCTTCACTAAAAGAATACTTTATGGACAGCTATATGTTCATCGCTGTGGTCGAACGGCTCGCGCTGCTAGCGAAGGTATGAGCATTGCGCTCCTTAGTCCGAGAGATATACAGTCTTATAGAAATATTACAAAGGTGCTTAATCGAGGTAATTATAAATGGAGACTATAGTCAGGAAGGTTCATCTTGCTTTGAAGTAAATTTCTACGTTTTTATTTATATCTAATGTAAATATAGATATACCCGAATTTCCTTTGGATCGGTCATTTGAAAGAGATGTTAAGCGCCGGATGGTCCTCGCCGAACGTATAGTTAGCTTGGAAAAAACGTATGTGTACAATACAGCAATTATTGCATGTGGTATACGAAATACGCGTATGCGCAATTATAAAGTTATCAACTTATTGATGGTACGTAAATATTTTTCTTAGTTCATCAAGGGAAAAGTCTCGTAAAGCTTGGCTTAAAACAGCGGCCGAGGCCTTAGATGTTACGTTAAATGACGAAATGTATCCTAACTAAAATTTGCAGTTGATCTGGTACCTTACCTAACTTAGCAACAGTAACTGAATAGTAAGCAGGATGTATGATCGATTGACCGTATACAGTAGTACCTTATAAATTTCTTGCATTTACTTCGTATTGTCTACATGCAATATATTTTCTTGTTGTAAACGTCTTTAACGAATTTCTAGCGACTTGTCTGTCAATGCAAGATCCGAAAATGAAAATTCAATCAAACTAGCAAGAAGTAAATATTGAATAACTTTTTCAAAATATAACGAATCTATGTTGCTAACGTAGCATCGTATAATACTCTCCCAACTCCCATTTTTCAGTTTATTGTAACAAACCATATAGGATTAATACTGTAATAGGCATCTCAAAATTAAATTAAACGTAAAAGCTGTACTAATGCAGGATGTATATTATCGTATGACAGAGATGCTCACAACGCAGTTGAAATTACCGTTAACAACCCGCAACTTTTCTGGAAATTTTCCCGCCACAAACGAAATTCTTTCGACTCCTCGTTCCGGTACGTATAACTTACATAGTTTATGTATAGCTTCAATACATGAAGATTTTCGTTATCATGGATACGAGTTTTTTGTACTGAATCATTTTATAATATTATATATACTGTATATCATCAATAACTCTGAGTGCTTAACAGTGATGATTTTCTCGTGTTTACAATCCTCAGATGATCCTATTACGCCAAATAAAGATGATAGTATTGCGGGAATAGAGGCTTTAAAAAAGAAGAATAAGCGAAAAACTGCCGCAAGAAGAGATGATAGTATTGTGGGAATAGAGGCTTTAAAAAAGAAAAATAAGCGAAAAACTGTCACAAGAAGAGATGATAGTATTGCGGGAATAAGAGCTTTAAAAAAGAAAAAAAAGCAAAAAACTGCCTTCAAGAAGAAATAAGACAGCAAGTCCTGGGAACGAGCATAATGGTCTTATGTATATATATAAGCTTCAAAGAAAGATAATTTAATGTTTTTATTTATTTTGAAAAACCATATCACAATTTTAAATAATTTTTCCTTAAGAATAATGTTGGATGACTGAGATAATTTCCTCTAATGTGTTAATGTACTAAATTACTGCGAACGATCGCAATTGAGCCCTTACTGCTCCTCTTTATCTGTACAATATATCTGTTTGGAATAAAACACTGGTATAGATTTATTACTCAATGATCTGATAGTAAGCAGCAAATGCTGGTTAATCTCAAACCGATATTTTCATTGACAACTTCTGTTATCTGAAAGGTTAATGGAAAAACGTTATTGAAGATTTCTCATCTATGTTCACTTATAGATACGTGCCAAAACTTACAGCATTTGATTCATATTTCCATATCTTGATCCATCCATCTGATAGGGCAGCAACAACGACATTAGGCATCGTTGGGTTTGACGTTGAGCAGACTTTCATAGCTTTTATCCTAATAATGTACCATTGATCGTATATCAGTCATATATGCGTAAGGACAAATGAATAAATTGGAAACACTAATCGTCATGTACGATAGCAGACAGCTATAATAGACTCTTTAGTTGGGAAATATCGTGTTTCTACACACACTAGCGCTAATTTACAGATGCGATTAAAAGTTTGCAAAAAAATAAGTAAATAAATTTGGTTATGAGATACTTGGTATTTCTAGAAATACAATATACTCCACCTGCTAGATAATTTTGCTGATTCCGATGAACAACTTTCACTGCTTATTTCATATAATTTCAGAATTGAATTGTCGCCAGTTATTGCTACAATATTCTCCTAGATATAAAAACGTAAACAATGCACAATTAGCATAGAGCTTCATCTTGTTTGAAAATTTTAACATACCGAGATGAATTGTAGTGAAGTGATTCGGCTCTGAAAATCCACTTTATGTACAAATGAAGCAGTCTGAAAATTAACGTTAAACATTTAAATCTATTTTAAGTTAACTGCCTAGTCAGTTTTCTGGGTAAAGTTAGCTTACCTTTAATTCATAAAAAAAAGCCTTATTTTTTACAACTAAAGCGTAAAGATGACCAGAGGGCGACCACTGTACGATGGGTACATCTGGATTGGAGAATTTGGTAGACAAGTGATGTTTATTTAGATATCAATCACTTTTTATTAAATGAAATTGCAATTACCTTCTTTGCAGTTAACAATGTAAGACTGTCTGCCGGTGACTAGGTTCCATACTCTAAAGTTGGAAAAAGTTGTTAATTAAATAGTATTAATATCGTGTAACAACAAAAGACGCTTGCGTATTGCGATCCTGCAAACATCAAGGCGGCAGCATACCTACCTCATAGTTTTGTCTTTTGATGTTGTCATAGCCATATTATTTGAAGGGTGCACAGCCAAAGAATTTATAGCTGATCTTTGAGGAGGGAATTTGATAGTAAATATAAGTTACTCAATCACAGATATAATTTGAAGGGAGATCCCATACGAAGTCAATATCATACTTGTGTCCTTTGAAATTTTTCAAGCATTCCCAAGATTTACATTTCCAAATTGTTAGGATACCATCTTCTGCAGTACTTAACAGATGTGATTTTGATGCAAATTCTAATCCCGTTACAGTACCTATAGTGTAATGAGGAAAGCATTTCGCATAAAACAAATTTCAAGTTCTCTAGCCTGTAACGAGTAGCAAAGCATTACCGTTGTGATGCATCAGAGTTCCTAGCTCTATTCTCTTGTTGAAACTGTATAGCCTGCAATGCAAATCATCACAATTTAATGATCTATTTTATAATACTGCACTGAATTATTGACTGTATAACTATGAACTATGCATATTTCGAGGTTGCTGATAAGTGCATGCTGTTGAATTATTTTATATTATACTGTACTGTACTGTATATTCTGTATACACGTAAACGTATATAATTATTTACTATTGAATATGCACAATCGATCGTCATTACTGAACTATACATGAACGAGTAATTCAGACTCCTGATGGCATATACTGTATGGGACACTAATAATGTCTGCATAGCATCATATATAGAGAATTGAATGTATCAAATCCTGGATTTGGTTAGTAATTGTAGGATTAGGCCAATTATTTGGCCTATTCTTAATGCGTACGTTAATGTATTTGGAAATTCATCGATGCAAGCAGTAGAGAGTATGGCTATTGTCTATTGTGCATATATTATTGCTCCAACCGTTATAGCAGCGCATCAAGACCTCTTACTGTACAGTACTCTATGATCGAATATTCCAAATTTCTATCTTAATATCGCTGACAGAATAAAAATGAATTCTATCGAAAATAAATGAATAGTACCTAACGCATTCGTCTGTACTACCAGAAGCGAAGTAATCACCGGTAGCAGCAAGGGCCTTCACATTACCTGAATGGTTTTGATTGGAAAAATCTAATGCAAAATCCTATTTATAGAGGTCAATTTAGAGAGAAATGGATAGCTATAAATGGAAAGCTATGATGTTGCCCAATTCATTTTTAACATATCATAATAACTAATGCAAAACCTTGCTATCAGAGCCATCAATATCCCAATGGAATCCAAGTACTTGTCCATCATAATCACCCACAATCACCTCCATCCTGCGGTTGGTTTAGCCTCGATCACACACGGCTTGTGTTGCAGCCTCGACACAAAGTGATGTCACTCGTGACGAATGACTTCCGTCGTTCGTAGTACTGTGCCACGAACTACGGTACTAACTACAGTACTAAAGGTAAGATTTACTGTACTGTACAGTACATTGTACGGTATAGTGTTGTACTGTACTGTAGTCTACAGTATGACTGCCGCGGAGTCTGTCTGTATAGACGTACGCTAGTGACATTGTTTTTGCTAGCGATTTAGTACAGCGCTTAAAAAGTAGTCCACGATACTGTATCGCTGTGCATCACGCTAGTACTGTACCATACAGTAAGCTGAAAATGAAAAGCTTATTATTTATCTCTATAATAAACATTGGTAATTCTAGTTTCAAATATAATGTCGCAATACTGTACAGTGTACAGTCAGGGTTTGAACAGTTCAGCACAGTACTGTACTGTACTGTACTGTACTGTACACTGTACACTGTACAGCGTACACAGGCGCACAAGCAAAATCGAAAATCTCGCGGGCTTGAGAGATATCCAAAAAATGAAAGGATGGTCCTGGTCGATGTCCGCGGCATTGAAGTCGATTTCCCATTTAATCCCTATCCATGCCAGTTAGATTACATGACTAATGTTATACAATGCCTGCAAGAGGTAGAACTCCAAACTTTTCATTGAGAATACATAGGATAGAGGCCTAAAAAAATAACCATAGCAGTTTATAGTACTGTTCTAAGTGAATTTCAATGAAGAAGCTCTTTGTAACTTGTCGCTCGTACAGTACGTGCTTGAACTTGATTCAGCCCAAGTTGTTACAGTCGCCGTTGAATAGACGAAGTATATACTGTACACTAGCAACTTTAAAGTACTGATCTAGCCACTTACAAAGTACAGTATAAAAATAAAATTCTCTATCATACCATACATAAACATGGCGAATCAACATCCTCTGAATTTACTAAACCAAGCAAGTTGATGCTGATATCTTTACCTACTTTTAGGGAAAAAATGGTATTTTAGAAAGCCCAACTGGCACTGGTAAAACGCTATGCCTTCTGTGTGCTTGCTTGGCTTGGCGACAAACTTACGTTGCTCAGGTACAACTTAACCAACGGATACAAATGCAACAATTGCAACAGAATCCAAATACGGACAGAAATAGTCAAGATCTAAAAGAACACTTACAAGATGATATATCTCAAGCTCTATTTGGTAGTAATCGCAATGACGGTAAGCGAAGATTTCCCCTATTCATGCACTGAATCGTTAATCAACAACTATGGTACAACACTAGCCGTACTGTAAAATAGGTTTCCTTCTTTTAAATCGCCCTTTTTCATCTAGTGCGCTTTCATGCTATACAGCATATTAGTGGCCTTTCACCAAACGCTGATTAGTGTCGATAATTGATATAATCAAATATACCTGTATTCTATCCATTTGTAGGTACAACAATCTTTCAAGTGCCGAAGATAATTTATTCTTCACGTACTCATTCACAATTATCCCAAGTCGTCAATGAATTAAAACATACTATTTATAGGTGAGTGGAATGATTTCAGCTAATTACAGTAGTTAGGTATTAGGGAATACAGTGATACTGTACAGTATATATGTAGTATGTAGTACCGTAAGAAAATGAAATATGATAAGAATCTGTCAGAATATGAGCATCGTTGTCATCAATAATATGTGTTAACGCTCTCGTGCAAATAATTTCATATTTCTGCATGAGTTGTAATGAATTGCCAAAGGAGCTTACTGGTATTACGCACAGTATCCATTGGCGATTTACGTATTGACAACACCCCTGCAATAATACTAAAATTGACGTTTATTGAAAGTATACAACAAATATCAGAGTTATACACTAAACAGTAAACGAATTAGCAAGTATTCTTTTTTCCTGTAATTGTAAAATAACACAATTGCACTCTTGTTAATGTCTACAGGTCTTTAACTACAGTAATTACGCGTGACTACATTATACTGTTGTTGTATTAACTTACTTTTAAAGTATTATGCGTTATCTGTACGTCTTTGTGATAGAATTCTTATTGTGCAGTTTGTAAGGTTTTTCCTTTAGAATTCAAGTACATCCTTCACAATTTTTAAACACTTTGTATGAGCATATTCTGGATAAGCTATCTGAACTATCACCATTTTTTATCCATCTAGGCCGAAAATTTGTATTCTAGGATCTCGTGAACAAATGTGCATTCATCCTGAAGTAGCAAAGTTACAAAGCAATACAGCAAAGGTCATTCATATACGTAGTGTTAACTGGACTATTTAACTAATAAAAATGTCTGTATATATTTGTTAATCAAACATGTTCTTTTTTAATTTATTATTTATATCAATACAGATTCATGCATGTAGAGCTAAAGTAAATGCCCGAACATGTCATTTCTGCAATAATGTAGAAAGTAAGTATCTTTAATTAATTATCGTTTTGATATACTATAACTCGATAATTAACGTCTTTGTCATGTTCATTCATTAATTAAATTAATTATAGCAATAATTATTTAATTGACAAATTTTTAATTCTTAATTCTTATTCTATTAGCAAAAAAAGATGATCCTAGTTTTTCGGAAAATATCTTGGATATTGAAGAGTTGGTCGAATTAGGAGGAAAACAGAAGTAATTACTTTTAGTTATGATATCATTTTTTAACTGTAGACTCTGGGGCTGTTGCTTATGATGAAACTGTTTCTTTTATCACTCAAATATGACTTAAAATGATTAATTCTCCACCAACACTGAGGCGACAGAGTAGCAAATATGTAATTGCTATCACTGTACTAGAATACTTATTTTCGGTCTTGCACCTCATCCCTAAATTTTTTATGTGCACGATTTACTTACTACGTATATAGGGTTTGCCCTTATTACATGGCAAGAGAGCTAAGATCCAATGCCGATATAGTTTTCATGCCTTATAATTACCTCATCGATTTCAAGGTAGTTTTTAAATGATTTTTCGACTGTATGTATCTGTGCAATGTTAATTCTTAGATTACCGGTACGTAAATTTAGTCTAGGCAATCGAATAGCATTGATATGAAGAATGCAATTATCATTTGTGATGAAGCCCATAATTTGGTATTTTTCATGTTTTTAATTTCCTCATATTAATATTTCACTGTGATTCATTGTAGTCAACAACTCAATCGAATCTGTCTAATACTTCCATCCATATACCGACATAATTATACAATTATATCATTCTAGGAAAAAATTTGTGAAGATTCAGCTTCTTTTGATCTTTCATCAGCCGATATTGCTAACTGCATAGATGAAGTTGACAACTTTATTAATATTCTTCAAAGAATAAAGTCAACTACAGATAGCGAAGAATATGACGCAACAGGTATGCGATGCAATGTTAATAATGTCATTGGAAGACTATTTCAATAGGATTCAGCGATTTCATTGTAATAGACTCTTAGGCTTTTGCGTATCCGTAATCTATTTTGTAGTATAACATTGAAAGCTTATAAATACCAAATATTATTTATAACGTCCAGGGGCCGCCGATACCGACCTTGACGTGGAGGATCTGGCGACACTGAAAGGTTAGTTGTAACTTTTACATACAGTATAGTATAGGCAATTCTGGCATATCCGCGTGGATTAACTTCATAGTGGTCATGTGTATGTGTTTAACATTCTAGCACTGCTTCTGAAGTTGGAAGAGATTCTCGGAGATATAGAACTTCCCAGTTCCGGTAACGGAGTTACAAAGCCTGGAAGGTACCAAGTACACACTTATTAACCGTTGCTAACAATATTTCGTATAGTGAAGTTGATATCGAGTGGTTTATATAAAACGTAGATGCAATATTTCATATTTGTATGACAAGGATACCAAGTAGCTTTACTGTCTAACAATGCGGTATGTGATTGAATCTAGCTATATATATGAAATATTTAAACAACTTAATGTAACATTTGAAACAAAACACCTTTTTGTGCAAGTATTGGGAAAGTGTATAGATGCCACAGTATCAGGTACTGTTGTTGCTTTAATATAAATCTTAAATTCTACGCATAAACGATCTCTTATTTTCACTACAGTACCATTCATTCCTTTCTTGTAACTGTAGATAGCAAAACTCTAAGAGCAAAACACTTTGGATTAGAAAAAGTTTTAGATATTTTAACGGTAATTTTTCTTGGTTATGAAGTTATCAATCAAAGAAATCAACTCATTGTTTAATATTATTAACTGTTAGTTGATATTCGGAGCAAATCAAATAGATTTATCATCTGGTTCTAGTTCGAATTCGCAAAGATATTATAAGGTAATCATATACATAGAGACTTTAATAGACTATTATTCAAGCAATTGTTGTCCTGTAGGTTCATATTCGATCCGATAATAACATAAGAAAATGGCAAACGTCACATAGTGATCCTTGGACAACAGCAAAAAAGGCTGCTAAAGAGGGTCGGTATAGTGTTGTCTTTAATTATTACATGCTATTAAACCTTATTTTAAGCATGATAGCACATGTTCTTAAAGTTATTTTCTTTAATCTGTATATTTTTATTTAATAGGTCGGATTCTTAGTTACTGGTGTTTTAGCCCTAGTTACAGTATGAAAGAATTAATAGATCAAGAAGTTCGAGCAGTAATACTTACAAGTGGAACTCTTTCCCCGATAGAATCACTGGTTGCGGAATTTCAAGTGTAATGAACTTTAGTATCTTGCATCTCAAAGAGTAAACTTATAGTAACTGCCGTATTTTATATCTGTTCAGGAGCTTTCCAGTTCAGTTACAAAATCCTCACGTTATCGACAAGAAGCAAATTTGGATTGGTACTGTATCTAAGGGCCCTTGTGGTACAGCTCTTAACTCATCGTACAGAAATCGGTAAACTTGCAAAGAAATAGTTAATAACCTTGCTATTTATTAATTTATAAATGCTGATAAAATGTTAACACTCCTATAGATCGTCAGCAGAATATTTATCTTCGTTAGGCAATACGATTGGTGGGTATATATGTATAATGATAAATATAATTGTAAAATTGTTTAGATTAATCCTAATGCTAGCCATAAAAACTTGTTACAGTCAATTTTGCCAGAATAATACCCGATGGATTGTTGGTATTTTTTCCATCTTATCCGGTAATGAATTCCTGTATTGAACATTGGCAGGTAGGATAAGTAGGCGGAGAATTATACTCGCAAGCCTTGCAGATATTGTTAGGCTGGTAACGCAACTAAGGAACACTATTTTCTATTTCTTTATTACAAAAGTCCTCCGGTATATGGGACCGAATATGTCAACATAAAAGTTTGCATATTGAACCCCAGCACAAATCTGAATTTAATAGGGTTGGTATTTGAATTACAACACAGCCGATTTTAGGTACAGCTATATTCGTATATTACAATAAATGACCAAAAGTTTTTACGATCCAGGTAATGGATGAATATTATTCGAGTGTAAGAGATGAAAATTGTAGTGGAGCCATATTTCTAGGTGTATGTAGAGGAAAGGTGAATGCTATATTTTTTCTTAGCCTTTAGTTCATGTAATTAATGGTAATATCAAATTATGAAAGGCCTCTTTTGATCTTGTAGTTCAAATATTTGTGCAATGATTGTATTTAAAATAGGTTAGTGAGGGTGTTGATTTTGCGGATATTAACGGTAGGGCTGTTATAATTACTGGCTTGCCCTTCCCTCCGAGTAAAGAAGCAAAGGTTAAACATACCAATATCAGTTTTTGAACCTCATCTTAAATTTACTAAAGATATATTAACCCAAAATTCCTCTAGGTGATGCTGAAAATGCAGTATCTAGATGAAAACATTGGATTTAAAGAGCACAAGGTTAGTATTACTCATGAATAATCCTATGTTAGGCTTAGAAACGTATTTATAAATCAACTATACGCTAGAATGTTTCATTCTTATCACCCCTTTATGAAAATATTCGCTTTTTATTCCTGTCCTATTAAATTAGTCAATATGTGGGAGAGATTGGTATCGTCAACAGGCTTCTCGCGCCGTAAATCAAGCAATTGGCCGCGTAATAAGGCATCGAAATGATTATGGTGCAATAATCCTTTGTGATGAAAGGTAACTTGCTAGACCTCACTTTTATTAGTTTTTGTCCAAAGCTTACGACGAACCATTAATATTTCATTAGAATTAAAAATTATTAATACTATTGCCACTGTCAGTAGCTACTATTGTTTATACACTAAGTTAAACAGAATTCATGGTAATTAAAGGTTATTTCTGGAATGTAAACAGATTTAATCAAAAAGACTCAATAAGCCAGTTACCTAAGTGGTTAAAAGACTATGTTCAAGCATATGGTAGTTTTGGCCTCACTCAAAAAAGTTTAAAAGATTTCTTTTCTACTGCAATGACTCTGGTTAGATTGCACGTCAATTTTTAAATCGCCATTACTTTTATTTTTGCTTCAACGTTTCGTTTTCTAGCTTATTATAAAATACGCGTACATCCAATTTTTGTTCAGGGCAGGGAAGTTTCGTCAGAGAAAGCTGCTCTCAAGCACAGTAATGCAGAAATAGCGAAAAATCTTTCGCGTCCTTTCAAGAAACCGACTTCTAGTGAGAAAAACGCGAAGGATGTTGTGTTACATGTCGCTAGTTTACAGCCAACAGTCCCAAAGTCTCCTAATGACCGCAAAGCAGCTGAGAGACTAGAATCGAGAAAGCAAACCAGCTTATTAGAATCATTAAACCAGTGTGATGAAAATAGGATTACAGATACTGTTCCAGATAAGAACGTGAGCTAATAGACGTCAACCAATATCTCCTCGGATATATTGTAAATCTAAATTTCAGTTTTGTAGTTACTGTTCATTGATAAACGTTGTACATGTTATTAATTTTTTAGGATACTGCAACAATCTCCAGCACTATTTTAGACGAGAATCTGTCCAATGTTGACGCCAAAATCAACGCTATGCCAGTCGCGAAAAGAACTCATAAGGTATATATGACTTTCGATGAATATAAGATACTATCAGGTTTATTAACTCTGCCAATTATCAATTTCTCACTCTTTATTCTGTGTAACTGAGAAGCGATAGCTGAATGTTTTGTGCATATTTTTTTATACTCTTTAGATTATTCTGCACAAAAAAGGTACAAATTCAGGAAATCGAGAGAATACGGCCGCTATGTATTTAAAAAAGGTGTAAAAATCGAATCAAGCTGAAAATTTTCTGTTATTACGACTTTCAAATTTATCGATATTTGCTAATATCAGTTAGTGTGCTTGAAATTCATTGTAACATCGAAGATTTGTTCTTAGGTAAAAGAATGTTTGAGCGTCGATTCTTTTGCAAGATTAAGACATCTTTTAGCTTCATTTAAGAAGGTTAGAATTACAATGTCATGAATATATGAACCTTATAAAATTTGTAGCATTATAATTTTTGCCATCTGATTGATAGGATCGCAATATACATGCATTGATTAACGGCTTATCAACAGTATTTGATGATTCGTCTATGTATGACCTTGCAATAGGTAAGCATACTAGGAAAAGTTAGAGACTAGACATTGTTGAATAATATTTTATTTATCTAATAACGAGTATCAATGGAGTAAATAAACGAAATGTTAATTATGTCGTTTAACAATTACAGAATTTGTCCAGTTTATCCCTGGATACCTGAAGGAGGAATTTGAGACAAGTTTAAGAAAGAAACTAAATGGTTAGGTTTAACCTTTTCAAGCCTGTGCTGTCTTTACCGGTTTGATTCTATAGCTAACAGCATTAGATTAAGATTTGAATATCAATTCCTTTGATCTATTTTTGCTGATATTTGTATATCGCTAAATCTGACTATGAAATGTTCTACTGCGCAGTATACTTTAGATTATATCTACTTTGAAGTACTTTGTTTTTACCTGTAACGTTAGAGTACTAAACAAACTCTTGTAAGAAATATTGTACTCAAGTTTTAATGGACTGTATGGTTGCTCTGAAGATCAATTCTGTTCATAGGCTAAATGCAACTCCTATATAAAATATTGATATCATAGAAAATTACTGTTTTATACATGTATAATCTGAAATTATCATACTTTGTAAGTTGTGACAAGGAAATTTCCCTAACTGAGTCTCAGTTATACTACCCCATGTATATAAATTTTGACGCAATATTAACCAAGCACAAAGTACGCATTTATTTCGTTACATTACGCTTGCGATATTACTGTACAGCTCAACGCCTGCAATTGTATGCGTTCATGATGTTTGCAAAGTATAATATAAAATCTAATTAGAATGGTATCTTTATTATTTTAAAATTTAACTGATATTTGTAATTCGATAAAAACTTTTTGATACCATACTGTGCATATAATTTATCATGTCTACATCCTGACTAAGTCAATCATAATACAAAATGTTTGTAATATGAATGTGTGACTACTTATTGCAAGATAAGCTATATATATATATATATTGGACGTTTCATAACTTTATAATTTGCAGTTTTAATTATTTAATTAACCATTGAAATGAGTACCCCCGTATACCAGTATCGCATCTAAACAGAGTGAACATGATAGCTTTAATTCACTGCCGTCTATATGCTCTCAGACTTACACTCTCGTATAAAATTTTACTGGAACAGTATTCTACAACGGAATCAAAAATTTAGTAAGAATATAAAAATTTTAAATCATTTTTCTTCATCATTGAGAATTCGTCACATACTGCTACTGCAGTATAGTGATAGTTTGATAGTGCATTAGTTCTTATACAGCTATGTACTTATAAAACAAAAGCGTAGCTGCTTGTGGATTCATAATTGGCTACAAAAGATGGTATAAATAAACTGGGAGTAAAAAAAGTTGTACTGTACAAAAATATCTAAAATGACTATTATGTATTTACACTCTGAAGCTTAACTATACAGTATGCTACCTTATCACAATTTGATAAAAAGTCATCACTCTATTACGGTAACATCGCCGGTACTAACGAAAATACTTCAAGGCATAACCGAACAAAAATCTTTCCGTAAATAATTCTGAGTCTAACATAGCGATATGAGCAGCTCTTCCTATGAAACTATTTAATGAACTCTCACAATTATGAAAGATATTATAGCGGATAACATTCGTATTTGATTTCTTTAAGGGTTCCAGTAAGCTTTCCAGCATCTCAGTATATACAGCACCTAAACCAAGAAATAAATATCCAATTTTTATAGAAAATAATCCGTCAGACAAGACCGTTTGGACGGGCAGAGATAATTATAATAGAATCAAACCTTGATCTGAGTTATCTTTTATTGACAGCTTACAATGCTCAATACGAGCAGAATGATAAGAAACATAACGATCTTGCTCCGAACTAACCAATAGTATATTCTTGAAGTGAGTCAGTCCTTAGAAGAATAAATTTTTCAAATTTTTTATATATTCAAAGAACAGCTACAGTTTCTTTTCAAATTATCTAGCTATATTATCATATAATTATAATAGATTAAAACTAAATTAAAAAAATTTGACTCGGTATTAGCCAGCCATCAAATATCATATCATTCATTAATTTATTGATCGTCAACATTCAGCTACATACTATTCATCTGTTCTTACCAGCTTGATAATATTCGTTTTCAAACAAATACAAAATAAAAGTAGTGTTCCAAAAACTACCCAATAATTCACTAAACTTATATTTGTAACTTTAAATTACCTGCAGATTTGTTTAACTGATATAAGAATGTTTTCCTTGGATCGCTATGGTCGGATAATGATAGCTGTAATAATGACGTCGATTTCTTCCATCTTTGCATAAACCACATTCCTGATGTAAAGAAAACAATGAAATTAAGGTGATTATCATTTGAATATAGAATACCTAATTAAACAACGTCTCCAAATACTAATGAACCTTAAAAGAATCGAAATTTAAAGCATTTCAAAACGTTATAGTAAACAATATACGCGTATATAAATTATCGCATCATAATTTCAGTTCATAAATCGCTTAAACAGAAATAAATAATATCGTATGTTTTTCGCGCTTAGGAAATTTTAAGTTAACTAACTAGTATCATAACAACATTATCAATCAATATTAAGGATTTTGCTTAACCTCAGTTTTTACAAATTGATATATTACAGGGCTTTAAGTATTACCTGTATTAACGATAGTACTGGGATGATACAATGTGCCCAAATGTGGTCCAGATAAGGATACGAATGTATACAATTTATCCAGGTATTGTGCCATATGTGAATGTCCTAGTGCTGAACGAACAAGAAGTGTACCTAAACTGTGGCCTATAAAACTAAAAAATAGTCGATAGATACGTTACTAGACTTTAGCGGTAACACTTTAGAACTGTTATTCTATCGTACCTTATACGAGTAGGTTCAATGTATTCTCTCTTGATAAAGCTCGATATTTCGGCAATAAGATTTTCGGTCATAACCTCCATGCTATCGAAGGTGTTATCCTATCAGAATTCATGTTTAATACTCATTTAATCCAATACACAAGCTATGCTTTTAATACTGAACACCACTGTAAATTTCAATCATGTTATATGTCGTTAGAAACCTCAGTTGTTATATTCAGTAAGACAAATAAATTTTATCAAAGACTACAGTATACTAGTACTGTACCTCATTTACAGATGACATCAGAAAAACAAAGTTATGATCCGGTAATGCACACTCTAAGTATATTCTAAAGTTCCTTAAGTCAGTTTTATGTCCTGCAGTGTTGTTATGAATACATTGGTACCATATAATAACAATCAGCGCATGATTTTAAACAAATTAATACCCTACATACAGGGATTTCTAATTAATCATGTTATCTTATCACTAAATTAGTTCTATGCAGTAACAGCCATTAAAAGAAAGCCTGACCTTCTAAGCCATGAACACAAATAACTAAGTGTGTCCCCCCAGAATTAGCCGAATTAGGATCAAAAGCGAAGAAAGGGGCTGATTCAAACTTGTTCACGCTATTTTTAATAAAGGGTAGAAAAATGTTGCAGTATACGAAATAAGTCATCTTATTAAATTTTCTAAATACTAAACAATACATACAGCTGATTAATACGTTAAATTTCAATCTACAGAGTTTATTTAGAAAATAGAATTCCACCACAATACATGTTACAGGTTACAACGTGATTGCTAACATTACTACTATTTAATCAATAAACTTAAAACAAAACTAAATTTCCGTGTTCAAACCTAGAAAAATTTTCGCAAGACTGGAGTAACTCTTTTAGCCCAGCTTTGGCTTTAATGAATTTACTAGAAACATGGTTAAAAAATTAGCACCTTAGTCGGAAAGTAATCCGCGAGGAACGCAGCTATTATTATATTATTTTAATAATAGAATAGTTTCTCAAGCTACAAGGCCATGGGAGTTAATTAAGTCTACATGGTTATCTCTGCGCTAATATTTGTTTCTCACTTTCTGTAATATAAAATAGCATTACATCATAGATCGCATAAGACTATTATCACATACCTTCCCACTTCCGGCTCGGTAGCGTTCAATAATTTTTCATTGGAATCTGTAAATTATAAAAGTAGCGCCCATGTCTGTTAAAATTATGTTCTATCATTAATAATCGCGCAAATGAGATAAACAGTTACTATTCTGTGTGCAAAGTCTGCTCAGCTATCATGAGCTGAGGTTGCTAATAGCTAAGTTGATAGTCTTACCGAATAGATTAATTAAATATTATTACGCAATAATTGTTATGTATTATAGCTTACCAAAGACATCTATCGAATCATCGAAAACCAATGCAACGTCATCCATTGACGTATTACTCAGTGTATGCGGTTTGCTACTAGTGCTATCATTCCGATAGCCACGATCAGAAGTCGACAACTTTACAGCCGACGATGATGTAGACACAGTGCTCGCAGTTGGTGACTGATTATCGGGATGTAAATCGAAATCATCTTGATCGCTATTAGCCACCTCAGATATGATACGTTGACTTGCTTTTGTTGGTGAGAGAGAAGTTCCATCCGTTCTACCAATTCTATCTAATACCGATATCATGTCTTTCTCTTCTGCCGATAAATGAATATCAACAGTGCCTGGTCTTGGTTGCATACTATTATAAATAGCCTTACGAATTAGTGGCTGACATAACGCGTAACTATCGGTATTAAGGCTATGTTCGGATTGACTGGAAGATGCTGAACCATTCTGCTTATACCTATCCGGAGCTGATTGTGATTCGTTTATATGATTGGAATGACCATTAACTGAATTAGAGCTTTCTAACTCATTGTTGCTGGCGTTCGTTCTTTCAAAGCCTGTAGAAAATACGTCAATTTTATTTATTACTTAATGTATTGTCATGCGAGCACCTAATATTAATCGAATAGACATTTACGTAATTCTTAAATATATAGGCTCCTAAGAAAGAATTTTAAACGAACTTTTCACTTTCTATTTGACGTAAAAAGTTTTAATAAAGAAAAAATTGTCCTTTCTATTCCCGTGATCAAGATATACCCAATCTTGCAACTACAAATTGCTTATTTTAGTGAGTGTAGCAACTTATAATAACCTTAAAGTATAGAACTACTTTTCCTTAGGACTGATGTATGCTATGTTACACGAAGAAAATTAGTATATAAGAAAACATCAGCTACTATCGAAATAAAAACAGCTCTAACAACTGCTGATCAAGAACTTCCGCAATGTAGGCACAATCATCGCCTAAACGCTCTCTTACCATTACATACAATATCTTCAAACAATGTTGGTATGTTGTCATATTCGCCATCATTTTCTCTACAGTGGACGGGTAAATTTGGTAAAGTTTTCAGATAACTGGTGGAATAAATATAACGCAAAATGCGTGATTTGCTTTCGTCCCTACGCAACATTAATAGTAGTCATAATATTAGCTGAAAATGTTGCAGTGATCAGATTATCTAAATGCAATACCAATCTAAATTGATATGTTAAAATAATTTTAGAGAATACTCATACTTGCTAGCGTGATAACAGCCTAACAAATCCCTACGACTTTTAGTCGTAAAAAGAGTTTCAAGTATGCGACATACCTATAAATGCAATTTTTGGTTAGCCATAACATAAATAAAAGTCAAATTTTTACTGTTAGTAATACTAATAGATAGTATAACATCAAATAATGGGTGAACGTTGTAATGATATCAATGCGAAGAATTCTTAAATTTTTGATACTATTACAATAGCAACCTCATCTTAAACTACATAGTCGCAATCGCGTTACTCGAATATATTAACGTTACCCTTTGTTTATGATGCTTCTCTAACAGGATTGATTGTAAGATAGGGCTATTAGTAACAACCTCTAATAAACTAGTCCACAGCTGCGATAACTAGAATCAAAATGATGTAAGAAAGTTAAATTCAATATTTTGGTATGCTGTTACTCGATAATTACAAAATCATAAGCAGAGTTATCATAACTTATTCCATATAACCTTGTCATTTAATATCTTGATATTATCGGAAAGTTGTTCTGAAATTGTTTCAATGTTGAACGCCTATAAAATAAATTTACAAAAATATTTTGAATTTATATAATTAACATCGTACTTTAGATCACGTACGTTGTCGTACGGTGAATGTTAACAGCTACACTAGAATATTCTCGCAGTTAAATCCTGCTGTGATATATTTATTATCAACTACTAGCCAAAGAGCTTCACCATGTCGCTACTGGAATATACATTCGATCATCTTTACATTCATAAATTTTATGAACTTTGTAATCCAAGATCATAACGTAATATTACGTATTCAATACAAAGTCGTTAGAGAGTACTCACTGGATAATGAATAAAATTACAGTACTGTACTATTCTTAAATGATTTCGTCTATTGCATAAATTAAATTTCATTACTTACAATATGTTAAACTAGAGTATTTTAAGTCATAACTTCATTAATTTTTATAGAACTGTATAGTGCAATGTCACTGAATTAGCACGTATTAATAATATTAACAATACATAAGGTAAGGAATTATTTAAATTTGCAGTTATCAACGCTCTGCAAATCTACTCTAAATCTTTCGTTAAAAGTTACAAACAGGTATTAATAATATTAAAAAATGAAGCAATCATTAAAAATGTTTATAATAGCTAGACAGAATTAAGATAACCCACTTGTATTTGTTTGACTTCCTCATCAGTTAACCCATGCGATTGCTTTTCATCCCCTACATCTACTTTTAAGGTATTGTTATTAACAATTTAACTCAGTAATTTAAAAATATTCAGATTGGCAAAAACAAAAATTAAAAATATAATACATTTAAGCAGAATTAAATTTGACGTACCTGTAGATGTAGATAAAGTTTGTTGACGATTACTGTGTAATGTTTTATATAAATCTTGTATCCAGGAGTTTATTTGGTTCGTACATTTTACGAGATGACAATACCAATATCTGAAATTCAAGCAGATGTTGTATTTATTTTATAGGAATTAATATATGAAATGATAGTAAGAGTAGTTATCTAAGATACTGCTTCTTTTAAAAGATCTTAAAATACTATATTTTATATTTCATCGATACTAATGGCATATGCTCTTATTGTAATAATAACTAAATGAGGAATACTTCCTTGATGAGATTTTACTTGCTAAGCTAGAATAGATAAACTTACTTATATATATGAATTGCTTTGTCAAGATCTTTCTTACTAGCTGGATGCTATAAAAAATTCAGTTTTATTATATAACGATATACCACAATTATTTTAGATGAAATACAGCATTAACCTCCTTAAATCAATAGTATAATCAAGTTGTTAATCATTTCTTCGCTATTTAATAACCATACATGTAGTGCACAGGAGTACAGATAGATAACTACTAATGGCTGACAAATTAATAGTCAATGCAGCTTCAACTTAATGTTGACGGCTTATATTCAAAGCTTTTAGTAACTATTCTGCCCCAGAATTTCATCTCATATGTTATAATATGTATGCAAACTTCAGTGTAACTGTGGGATTGCTAAAAACTTACGGATGTCTTATAAGGAAAGAAAACGTGTTGCAGATTCAAATGCTGATTGTTACAATCTTCAGTTATTGTTATTGATGTTGACCGCTTGTTAAATAAACCGTACTTGATGACTTTATTGCTACAACATAAGTAAGATTAAATTAGTAACAAAAACAGTGCTCTCGGTAAAAAGAATCTTCTGTCATAACTTTCTTAGGTTCGTGATAGCAAAATGACATTAAAGAACGATCATAATATCTAGAACATGTAAATTCGATCTTGGCGATAACGTAGGTTCTTAAAATACTATGAAATAATATCTTCCAGTAGTCTAACCGTTTGCTACAATAATTAGATCATGAAACAATATATATAGTATAATAAGAACAATTACTATATAGCTATCGAGTTTAATATGTCACTACACTTGCATTTACGATCATTAGAATGTAACGTGATAACATTAAGAATTATCATGTATATATAAATTTCAATGCTCATAAACAAATTACAATAATGCAATAATCTATGTTATCTTTAAAATGCTAAAGTTATTTTCAAGAATAATGAGCTCAGTATAGTACATTTTTTACACACTGCCGAAAGATATCTTATTTATCCAAGAATAATAAAATAAGACTGATTACTCAAGTCTCATAAGAATTTGTTAGTAATAACTTACGTTATGGTTGGTTGATAGATACCCACTAACATCGAATGTATTACCATTTCAACAGCCGATAAATGCAAATAATCAAACACTATTGGTCTCGCATAGTGTAGCTGGCCACATGATGATAACTGAAGCTTTAAATTATAGGATACAATCGATGTCAGATCAGACCAGCTGGTAGGTCTATAAAGAAATACGAAAAATAAGATGCAGATTTGATAAAGCCGATAATAAAGCAACTACATTGTCCGGCAAATACAATAATATTCCTTATCTTATTGATATATATATTTTATACTTCTATAATAAAATACTCCAACTATGAAATTTAAATGTTTATTATTCAAGTTCATTGGCAAAATATAATAACGAAATTAAAGCCGAACTAAAATCGAGAAATGGAATTGATAATAAAACAATTAGAACAACTGAAGTTATAATTATTTCTAATTCTTAAATAGTAAATAGTAACTGAATAAAAGATACAAACAGTATAAGTATCAAACAGCAATAAATTCGTTACGCTGATAGTGATAGATTTAATTTATTTTGATTATTGAAGGCCTAATCATTGTTGGTAATTTTATACTTTAACAAGTAGAAACCCTTTTTGATATCTTGAATTTATTCATAATACCGAGTTCCGTGCGCATATTACTATTACAGTAGTCTGTTTTTAACAGGCAAACGAAAGATGATATTTACAAGCAAGCTATCCTAGTGAAATAATTTAAATTGACACTGTCGAACCTAAGCTAGTACGGATTACTAACAACCTCGATAATTTAAATAATAGTTTGACCTGACAGGAATTACGGTACCGAATAGCAAAGAATAATTTCGAAGATTGAAATGTCAATTTCAAGTTTTGGACTTACTTATCATCTTTTTCATAATAGCAAAGCGATAGCTGTAATGAAAATGATGTTGTCCTAATCCATTCCATAGACTATTACAGAAATTTAAATCATAAAACAATAAATAAATATATATTTTACTACAGGCAGTAAAATAATTTGAGCACCAAGGACAATTATCATATCCTACGAAATTATGTTAAAAAAAATACTGTTGCAATTACTCCTACTAAAGATATTAATAAATATATACTCGTATATGGTATAACAAATACATCAATACTGTACACATAACTACTGTATATACTGTTATAGAGTAAATCGTTTACGGCAATAGTAACTTTGCTACTGTTATTAATCGAAACTGCAAATTATTTTTTCATCATATTTATCATAGTAAAATACGCTAGCTTTAGGCGTTATTAGAGCAATAAATGTACTGTAGCATACAAAAGTACGACATTGTACAATGTACAGTACTGTACTGCACATGGATGTTAGTAAAGTGATATCAAAATTGATAGACGAATATTGTACATGTATATCAAGAACATACCGACGTAGCCTTGATAAGAATTGCCTCATTATGACTGATTATTTCTATAACTTACTTTATCATTAGGTAATAATATGTCCATAGAAAATTGGAAGCCATCGTGCAATTCAATTTTCTCTTTTTGATATTCGATATGAAAAGTTTTTGAGATTGCGCCGTATTCCAATTCATTTCCATGTTGATGACGATTAACAGCAATAGAAGGACAAGCAATTTGATGATCCGTCTGATCATTATCAGCTATTGTTAAACAAGTAAGAATAAATATGCAATCGCTTCCACAACATTATATCGGTAGAGTATACGCGTATTGAAGCCTTGATACCGTACGATGGGCTATTACTATTTATAATAAGTTTAAAATAATGAATGAAAAGACCTGACTTAGTGGTAAACTTGGATGATTGATGACAGAATAACGGAGAGTAATGAGTAAAGCGTAATCGATACAGTACTCTAGCTATACCCTAATGTACTGTATCAAAAGAATAAAAAACAAAATGGCTAAATGTTTGATATTATAATTATCTCGATTGATGAATATTAAATTATAGAACAAAATTTAATCAGCGATTATTAATGTTATTAACTATAAATAATAAAATAATATATTAATAGGATGATCAAATCACCATAAAATCCTTTAACGGGATTGCCTATTTAAAACACTGTCAGTTAAATTCTCTATATTAAATTATACTGCTTTGGCCCTAGTTTTAACTAAACAATTAGAAAAATATCAATGATTGATAATAACAATTACTATTTGTTTTGATGTTTGATTACGTCGTGAAAAGAGAACATATATAATAGTCCTTTTTTTTACATTTACATACAGCTTGGATTATAATCTTCCGAATAACCCTTTCGTACAGTAATTGATTCTATCATTTATTTTCCCAGTTAAACTTACTTAAACCGCCATGAAGTTGCTTGACATCGATATGGCATTGAAATCGGCTGAGCGGTTTCAAAACTACGCGAAGGTTGTAATATCTTTTCACGTACATAGATATAGGAAATAATATAGCAGTGTATTATTAAACGATGGAGAATAAGATATTAATAAATTTATATCAGTGATAGATACAAAAGAGGAACAAATAAGATATGCCAGTTCTAAATAACGATACTACAACAATCATCGTAATATAATTAATTATCCTTAAAGATGATCAATTTAAATACGAGCGGCATCTCCTTGTATTCAAATGATATCAGTTTTGATCTGTTCGACGGTATATGCAGTGCGATATACTGTAGTATTGTTATAATACCGTATGTAGAAAAGTTCAATAGATATTTGAGACTACTGTATATAAATAAATAAAGTAAAATACCAATGAAAATACGTCTCGTAGTTGGGTATTAACGCTATTAATGAGCCTATAAAAAGTACTCTTAATATTTAACGATGGATATTATACAATTTTACTAGAAAAAAAACTTCATCAGGTAAATCTTACAAGTTTAATGATTGCGTAATCGGGTTCCCTTCCATTTTATTCATTCTTTCACATCAGTAGAATTTAAAATGTAATTCCTAGTGCTGTAATAACATCATTCTCTGCTGAACATACTGTATAGTATAGCTTGCTTTCCAAAGAAGTAATTGAAATAAGCACATACCACTGTCAAGATTGTACGCGCACAGTAGAAATCCTAGTTAGTAATCGTATACACTAAATGAGCTCTACTGCTGTATAGGGAAAGAGTAGCTATGGTAATGTATTTCTCCCATCTCCAATGATCATACTGAACAATAATATTCGAAAATTTACACATCTGTACACCAAAATAGGCAGTGATGGTGTTAAGGGATACAAATTGAACTTTGTTGACACTTTAAAACTACATTAAGTTAACATTGGATACACAATCGTGGCAAAACGATTTTCAGAGCTTGAATTAAAAATATCACCTAGTAAAGTTGTGGTGTACAGTATACCGTATTTGAATCAAAGGCGTGCATTTACAGTATACTATGCGTGTACTGTATAGGTCTTTTAGCAAGGGTTGATGAAGAAGGATGTGTTTTCATTTTTATTTTGTATGATCTGCATGTTACTGCACATCGATATTTATATGCTACTGTGGTTACAGCTGACATCAGACATATATGTACCAACACCCGTGTAGTATAATAATAATAATAATTAATAGATATGACGAGTAAATTTAATTTCCGTCGTATCAAAATATACCCTAATTACAGTGCTGTATTGTCGACAAACTTTTGAAAGATTCTGATGAAATAAACTCCTTTACATTATGCTATTGATGAACTTTTATGGATAGAGCAGACTTTATATCTTGGGAGATCATTTGATATTAAATGTGTCAAGAAAATTGGAAATCGCCAACATCGAGGATAGAGAGTAAAAACTCGTCTACAGAGCAGTATTGTATGTATCATCTTTGTCCTTGATAAGACTATATAAATTCGATGTCATGTTTTAGTGTTTCATGAATGCCGTAATGAGAATACTTTACATCGAAATGAAAGACAATTTAAATCATGAAAAGAAATTTACAATGCAATAAATAAATCCCAAATAGAGCCGAAGATAGCCATCAATACAGAGGTTTAGAGAAAGGGAATATGAAAGACTTGATTCAGAAAAATAAGGGGAAAAAATGTATTTCCCATGACGATCATCTAAGATCGATCATTACAATATACACGTACAGCAATAGACTGAGTTTAAAAGAAATGGAATTAATGTAGAATCCGACAGAAGAGAAGAGAGTAGTGTAAAGCTGAGCATTTAATGGTTATCTGTGCTAGAGTATGTTGTCTATAATGAATTGATATTTGTTACTGACTACAATTACACTTTAAAATTTGAGCCATGTTCATCAATAGTTGTGAGTTATACTATCATGTGGAAGAAATATGAAGGTATGCCATCATTAGAGTCATCAGGGCTGCATTCCACTACTGTGTTCTAAAAGAGTTTGTATCAATCGCCTTGGATAAACTATGATCCGACTTGAAACGTTATAATAACAATCATTATGGTTAGGTTATTATGTCTTTCTGGACGTGTATGGTGTCTTGGTGTAGCAATCAGTTTCTTCTTCTTCAAATCAATTTATGTAGGGCATACGTTCTACTTGTACAATAATATCAGTCAATACATGTATGTTGAGCTAGCTCTTTTAGCCGTGTTTATCAATCCAACATTTAAAGTCGAGATTGTAGTCTTAATGCCTACTGAATCAGTTGTCCTTTAGCTAATGTAAGAAATAAGACTTGAAAAAATGCAAAGCAAGCAAATTTGTAGTTACAATATCATGGAATACTACATCATACAAGAAAAACCCCAAAACAAACCACTCAATTTCATTGATCTGTACAAGATCTATTGATTAATTAATAGAGGATAAAAATGTGTACTCCTCAACATACTACCATTGATTCTGTTTATCAACTCGATAGTAAACAATCTAGTGTATATTTCAAGCTTTTCGGTTAGTTTAGTTTACTGCAAATAAGAATAACACACATCCCTACTAAAATAATGACAATTAGACAAGTATCTGCACATTGCATATCCCTCATCAAAAGGTAAAGTAAGTCATTCTCTTTTCGTCCATGATTTTCTTACCCTTTATTGAAGAGATCGATGTTATGAAAGGCAGCTAATTGGACGTAAAATTGGAACCTTGCTTGCAACATTGTATAACAGCTTGATACGTGTATTAATAGCTTGAACTTCTATACCATAGAAACATAGTACTATGCTGAAAAAATAAAAAAAAAGGAAATCTATCTGAAACTCCAAGTTTAAATCAATATTTTCTCTTCTCTTTGCATTGCCAGGAGTAATTCAAATCGACAGTAGGTTGGTCTTCCAATTTGCCCTACCTACAGTACGGTACTGTACAGTACGCGTTTTCGTCTGGATACATCATTGACACACGTATTATACTGTACCATACTGTACTGTACTGTACCGTAGTGACCTGTCTACAGTACTGTACTGTACATACAGTAGTCAACCGTCAACGCCCTAGTGTACGTTGTACTGTAACAGGATATACTGTACACTGTACACCGTAGTTTCTGCGGACAGCATACTAGCCGGCAACTCTGTACGCATGCCGCTAATTGCTAGGTAACAGAAACAAGCTTCTGCACTTGAAAACCACTCAAAAATAAGTTAGGGTGCTACTACTGTCTTCTTCGAAGGTCAGAAACAAGCTTCCACACTTGAAAACCATTCAAAAATAAGTTAGTGTGCTACTACTGCCTTCTTTCAAGTTCGGAAACAAGCTTCCGCACTTAAAAACCACTCAAAAATAAGTTGGTGTGCTACTACTGTCTTCTTTCAAGTTCAGAAACAAGCTTCTGCACTTGAAAACCACTCGAAAATAAGTTAGTGTGCTACTACTGTCTTCTTCGATGGTCAGAAACAAGCTTCCGCACTTGAAAACCACTCAAAAATAAGTTAGTGTGCTACTACTGTCTTCTTTCAAGTTCGGAAACAAGCTTCCGCACTTGAAAACCACTCAAAAATAAGTTGGTGTGCTACTACTGTCTTCTTTCAAGTTCAGAAACAAGCTTCTGCACTTGAAAACCACTCAAAAATAAGTTAGTGTGCTACTACTGTCTTCTTCGAAGGTCAGAAACAAGCTTCCGCACTTGAAAACCACTCAAAAATAAGTTAGTGTGCAACTACTATCTTCTTTCAAGTTCGGAAACAAGTTTCTGCACTTGAAAACCACTCAAAAATAAGTTAGTGTGCTACTACTGTCTTCTTTTTAAGTTCAGAAGCAAGCTTCTGCACTTGAAAACCACTCGAAAATAAGTTAGTGTGCTACTACTACTGTCTTCTTCGAAGGTCAGAAACAAGCTTCCGCACTTGAAAACCACTAAAAACCACTCAAAAATAAGTTAGTGTGCTACTACTATCTTCTTTCAAGTTCGGAAACAAGCTTACGCACTTGAAAACCACTCAAGAATAAGTTAGTGTGCTACTACTGTCTTCTTTTTAAGTTCAGAAGCAAGCTTCTGCACTTGAAAACCACTCAAAAATAAGTTAGTGTGCTACTACTGTCTTCTTCGAAGGTCAGAAACAAGCTCCCGCACTTGAAAACCACTCAAAATAAGTTAGTGTGCTACTACTGTCTTCTTTTTAAGTTCAGAAGAAAGCTTCTGCACTTGAAAACCACTCAAAAATAAGTTAGTGTGCTACTACTGTCTTCTTCGAAGGTCAGAAACAAGCTTCCGCACTTGAAAACCACTAAAAACCACTCAAAAATAAGTTGGTGTGCTACTACTGTCTTCTTTCAAGTTCGGAAACAAGCTTCCGCACTTGAAAACCACTCAAAAATAAGTTAGTGTGCTACTACTGTCTTCTTTCAAGTTCAGAAACAAGCTTCTGCACTTGAAAACCACTCAAGAATAAGTTAGTGTGCTACTACTGTCTTCTTCGAAGCTCAGAAACAAGCTTCTGCACTTGAAACCACTCAAAAATAAATTAGTGTGCTACTACTGTCTTCTTTCAAGTTCGGAAACAAGCTTCCGCACTTGAAAACCACTAAAAACCACTCAAAAATAAGTTAGTGTGCTACTACTGTCTTCTTCGAATGTCAGAAACAAGCTTCTGCACTTGAAACCACTCAAAAATAAATTAGTGTGCTACTACTGTCTTCTTTCAAGTTCGGAAACAAGCTTCCGCACTTGAAAACCACTAAAAACCACTCAAAAATAAGTTAGTGTGCTACTACTGTCTTCTTTCAAGTTCGGAAACAAGCTTCTGCGCTTGAAAACCACTCAAAAATATGTTAGTGTACGCGCATAGAGCTTCAAAACGCCATTGCGTTCGATGTAAAATTAGCCCATCATCCGCAATTTATATATTGCAATCAATTATTCTGATCCAAATTCTTATTGACCCAGCACATTATGATTAATTACAACTGCTATTACTTTTCTCCATATGACTTCGATCCAACACCGATTGTACACCAGTAAGAGATGCGTATAATCGTATAAAAACATTAAATAAGTGAAAAAGATCTGGTACCAGACATGCAAATTTCAGTTATCAAACTTTCCACTCTTTGGTACACTATACGCGTAGACAGTAGTGATGCAATAATTTAATTTCGCAATCGATTGAAAATAATTAAAACAAAATAATAATAATAATAACACTATGATAACTATAATAGATATAAAATTGAAAAGATTTAACGGTAAACAGATAAATTTACTCACTTACCACTACTGCCAACGTACAGTACAATACTATACTATATTGAACTGCCAGAACAAGATTCTCTACAAAAAAATTGATTGCTTGTTAAAAAACATCAATAGAGTCGCTTTAGCAAACCGATGCGAAAAGTAATAGAAGGCAAGGACTATCGAAATTAGTACAAAAGTGAGGATCTACTACCAGTCCGGCCAGAACTAAAATTTAGCTTCACTTTCATCAGTTCCATTGTACCAGCATATTATATCAAATTGCATGGAGATAACTGTAACTTATTAAATGGGTATGGATGTCAAAATCGAAAAGCCGTACCAAGCGAAAAGAAAAAAGCGATTGTTTTGCAATACTGGATTTGCAGTCGCAATACGTTGGGAGCTTAAGCCTTATAGATACATTACTGTATGGTTTACAATTCATAATTAAATAAGAATACATTCAACCATGTAAACAAGAACTCTCTACCTTGTTTAACGTAACTCGGATCGTACTTTTTACCTGTGAATTTCTACTGAAGCTTGTTTCGTATGCCTGATAAAAAGTCACGGGCAGCATCTGCCTTAGTTTGTTTCCAATTCTTTCCACCAGTCCATAAATAAAATGATGTTACTAAAGTGATTAACCTTATTAAAGTTGTGACTGACACATAACAATTTAAAAGTATCGACAACAATAGAAGCCCATTGAATATAAGAATTTTTATTTCATTTTGATATCATGGCAGAAAAATAACGCATTGTACTTTACCCTCATTCAAATATACGAGAATTATGGGCCGTTGTAAGGAAGATTGAGTAGAGAAGGAAGGAAAAAATTGTCATGTTAACAAAGGTTTATTGGTCAATGTTAGATTTGATTAATATAGATTAAATTTATGGGTTAATTAATTGAAATTCTCAGAATCGGATATTGATATGTTTACACTGCACAGCAGAATAATAGCAATGGCGTATATTTTTCATGATTGTTTTTTAAACCAAACGGCTTAGTAATCTTCTACTACCAAAATGATCTTTTCTAGAGCAATAATTTTACATATACAACGTATATCAGACACGCCGCGAGCATATACTGTTATGATACAAATATTTATAGCGTTCTAGCAGATACGAGCATGTTTCCATACCGTGTAAATATGAAAGCTCTACAATACTTTGCATTTGATTAATAAACAAATAGGAAATCTTATGTTACAAATTACATTGATATTGCATAATTTTTGAAAAGCCAAGAAGGTGGTTCACTTCTATTCATTATTAAAGTTTAGTGATTTCGATAAAATAAATTTTTTATTGCACCGTTATTCTTCAAATTTTAATTACAAAATGGTTATATTTACGAATTCCATACAATAATAAGACGAGGACGAATAATCCCCTAAAAGACATTAGTGACTATTATTATTTTGTAAAAGTTCTACTGAGTAAACTAAGTTATTGCTAATATCATATGCGTGGGTGTTATTTTCTTGAAAAAACTGAAGCAATTAATTTCCTACTCACAGTCAATAAAAATACAAAAAACTACGTAATACTCAAAGCCATCGGTCTATCAAGAATGTATTCCAATTGTCAAGGATAAACGTGATTTCTATCATTGGAACACGACAGCCCCTTAATATTATGGTAGCAACGAACAAGAAAGTGAATTGAACAATAAGATGTCTGCATTTTTAGCCCTTCCAATTGATCTGCTATTTATAGCGGCGAACGTAATTGTGATTTTAATTACAAAATAATCACTAGTTAACTGTATAGAGATTGATAATAATTGAGGATGAATTTTTTTATCCACAATAGGCGCATGGATAGGTTAAAGCAATAATTGCAATTATAGCTATCGTCCTTAATACGTACACATGTATAATATTGTCAGCCGTACAGTATCAGACAAGTAGAGTAAGAATCAGATATTTAGCTACTGAATGACTCTGATATGGGTTATATGGGATATCTTCCTTTTAAAAGTAAAATTTTGCAGTAATATGCGTATCTGCAGTACAACTGTACAATGAGTGTACGTATATGTAATGCACAATGTACTCGTAGAGGTGTCCATTTTACAGTACTGTGCACTAGATGGTTGATTCTCGAGACTATATTTTGCTAAAGAATTCGATACTTGCTGTACTTTTGCAGGTTGTAACGGAAAATTATGATATTGTGCTCGTACTTATTAGTGATACTATAAAGTAGAGTATTGTGAAATGACAAAATAGACAGCATAAATCGCACACGAAGCTAAAATCGACAATATCAAATCTTGGAGGATATCATCGACATCATCACCTATCCATCGACCAAACTCACCTGTCCATTGACAAACTACTAGAAAGAGACCAAATGATCCTTGATGTAATATTAATGGTTCTCAATAAAACACAACGTCCTCGATGCACTGTTGAACTGATACTTTATTGCTCGAGCCACATGCATGCAGACACCGATATCTAGACTGACGTTCTACATACGAACACAGATGTAAATTGAACATTAAGAGTGTTCTTAAGATATCAGTCAGAACTATAGGCAGTTTTAAACCTGTTATTACCTTACCAAAGATAAACTATGATAATATTACAGTAACATTACGTTGGTCTCGCAATAAGCCAATCAGATCGTGTATAGGTACATCTACACTAGGTATATTGTACAATAGGCCCCCGCCAATTTATAAAAAGTTTTAAGAATACTTAGCTGAAACTATCGTACTAACGCATCAGAATTATTAGAAGCACCTCCATGTAAAATTATGATCACATTCTGGTGATTCTCTCTGCAAATGAAATGGTATGAAACCGTATGAAATCCTATTGCACAAAGCAACCTAGCATCTAATTTGGACTATCGTACTAACGCATCAGAATTTTTATTAGCATCTCCATGATCACATTCTGGTGATTCTCTCTGCAAATGAAATGGTATGAAACCGTATGAAATCCTATTGCACAAAGCAACCTAGCATCTAATTTGGACTATCGTACTAACGCATCAGAATTTTTATTAGCACCTCCATGTAAAATTATGATCACATTCTGGTGATTCTCTCTGCAAATGAAATGGTATGAAACCGTATGAAATCCTATTGCGCAAAAGCAATCTAGCATTTAATTTGGATACATCGGTCGCGGACATCGCGGACATAGCGGACAGCGTACCGTCGCAGCGTCGATCTTTTTCTACTGAGTGTACAGTACATACAGTACAGTACAGTGTACTGTACACTCAGTGTACTGTACTGTACAGTACAGTAGGGAAAACTGGCTACGGTAAAAAGAAAAGAAAAAGCTCCTTGCCTCTGTACAGTACCGTACAGTGTACAGTGTACAGTGTACAGTACACTGAGTACAGTACAACCCACGCGAAATCAACATACCAAGACTAAAAATAAATACTAACCGTTATCGACGCTGTTACACCCAGGTGACAGTCAGTGTGGTATACTGTATCTAGTTACAGCACTTGCACAACTGCATAGTCAAACAACAAGTCGTTTCCTCGTTCATTGAAGCCGAGCAAATTAACCCAACTACAACCTCTGGCGGTATATTAGTTGTTTGCGAGAGAAAAAAACACTTGTATCTTCTTCAATTATAGATTCAAGAACGATATATTGTACAAGTCTTTAAGATTGAATGGTTGTAAATCCTAGTATTCGATAGAGGTAGAAGTAATTTTCATTTTTTGAAAGAAAAAATGAAAAAAATTTTACAACATTGAATGGTTATGGTACACTTTTACTTTCTCATTTCATATTGGTCAACTTATGCTATCATTTTGTTAGTACGTGTTGTGTATAGGTTCTGAACTCTCTAACATAGAAGTACATGTCAAGTCTTTCATCAATTTAGCCATAATAAATTAACATTTACTTTATGAAGATATACAATTCGATACTACCTAGTGTTGTATCACTGTATTTTCCCAACACACAACTACAGTACTGTAATTTGTTGAAATCATGACAGTACTTGTACAGTCTACAGTACAGTATTGTAGTAGTATTAATGAGGTGGATTGCACTTGATCTGGATAGTTTTTTAATATTGACGGTGTTTCAGCTTGGATGTGAGCCTTCTAATGTCTAACTGTCTCAATTTTATTCATAGATTCTATGATGACGAAAATATGACCATGTACCGTAGTAGATACTGTATGCCAACATAAATAAGCTGTCATCAATTATGGATTTAGATCAAGTTAAGAAGAAAAGAGGTGCAAAGAAAAGGCGACCTACCAAGGTTAGTTTAAAATCCTTTAATCATATTTAAAAATGGCTTCAAGAAAATCCAGTAATAAAACATCTAAATGATCTCATGAAAGAATTTGCAAATACAGTCCTATTCTATCTAATGTAAACCAGTAAGAACGAATCTGATTGACCATAGTAAATTAGAAAATCAAGACAATCTACAATATATTTAGCTACTTATTAAACATTGAAGTAAATCAACTACTCAACATTTTCACCTATGAGTTATTGACTATATTATCATTTTATATACTCTATATTGTATTTGATGAAATTTATTACTACGACTATTTGAAAACATACGCCTAACAATAGAATTTGTTTGTCGAGAACTACTACCGCTTACACCAATTATAATAACATCATCAGTTTAATTACCCTACTGCATGCGTATAGACATCGATAGACTGTATCTTAACAGGAATTCAATTATTATACTGTACTTCTTTCTAAAAGGCTATGTGGACATATTATATTTATATAATGACTATACATAAACAGTCTATATTCTCAGCACGATTAATATTGTGCTTGTACACTTAGTTGAACGATAAAATTATACTTTAGACAGCAGGGCAACATACAGTAATCAAATACAGTTTTAAAAGCTTCTGCGAACATAGCGACTGCATGTGAAGCTTCATACTCATTCAAAATGCTGCAATGTTATTTATGTTGATCAATATTCCCTAATGTTATGCATGTGAGAGTATATCATACGTAGCACATTTACGTACTATCCCAGTTGCAAATGTACAATAACAACACACACTTGATTCAGTAGCAAATTTGAAGTATTTACACATTGATTTTGTACAAGGAGATTGAAGCTTTTTTTTTATAATTAATCAATCATGCAGGAAGAAAGTAGTCCGCTAGCTGAAAATGAAGGTAACAGATTCTATTCTTTGATCTAAAATTACAGCCCACACCATAACTTTAACATACTGCATGATAAATCCTTTTCACTATTTTATGCATTATTATTTAGGCGGTTCTGAAAACCTACGGCAAAAGACTAGAGCGAGATTTGCCCAACTACTTGAATCATCCAAAAACACATCTGATAACCAGTAATTAAAATTTCTATTAAATGACATGACTAAAGAATACAGTACACCTATATCAAGCTAATACGATAGCAGTACATGTAAATGCAGTATATTTATCTGAAGATGTCATCCATCTTAGCTTTGCTGCTACAGTAATGTTATATAATTTATTTATTTACAATCAGATTGAATTCATTAGCGATAAAATAAATTATTAAACGATATGAACTATTAGTCATCCATCATCAGAATCGATAGCTTTGATAGAAAAGTAATTACATCAGGTTTCGACATCTCTCTTTTCTAAATTTGTTAGACTTAATGAAAGCCTTAGTAAGAAAAGGCGATCGCCTCGCGGAGCATCTACACTGGTACGACAAAAATAATTCACTCAAGTTTATCATTATGCAGTACTTGCATTAAATTATTTTATCAAGAGAAATTACAATTGCTAATACATAAATATTATTAGCTCATTATCTTTAAACCCCTTTCAAATGGTTATCCATTTATTGATATTTCATGTTTATACGCATCCCGTAGTCCAACGAAGACGATGATGATCGGTTGCAGCCCCACGTGAAAATCCCTACTAAGGATAAATCTCTAAATAAAAATAAAAAGAAGTCCAAATCAACTAGTATGTGAATAAATCACAGATACAGAAACTATGGCTAATTGCAATAGCGAAACTGTTATTATAAATATACCAATGGCTTTATACTCTGAACTATACCGTAACCTTAACGTTATCAGGGAAAGCAAGAGATAATGACAAGGAATATGAAAATGACGAGAACACTCCAGAGAAAGTTAATTACGCAGATAATGAAGGTTACATCCACGACGATAACAATGTATCACAGTCTATTCCGGAAGGGAAACGTACTAAGAAAAAAGCTAAATTTAAACTTAGCAACAATGAAAATCCGTACGTAGATTTTAGTACTGAGGCATAGTAAAGAATTCAGCTCTAAATAATATGCCATGTATTAGTAGTGACTAAATCTATTCCTATTTCGTAGTCTACAAATCGTTTAGTAGACACCAGTTTTCAGAAAAATAGCTTTATCTTCTTTTCTGATGTCAATTTACAACCAATCTACAAATTTATCACTCTTCAGAGACGCAGATTACATCGACACCCCTAAAAAGCCAGACGATCAAGGGAAAGCTAAGACTGTACGCCCTACAGACGATATTTGTAATATTGATCACCATCGAACAAATTTATATTCAAATTTTAATTTATGCTATAACAGTCTACAGATATCGCTCATAATTACGTAATATTAAAAATTGTTTTACGGTAGGCAAAATCCAAGAGTAAGAAAGATAAAAGAAAAAAAGCAAAAGAAGATCCCGAAGCGAAAGATAAAAGTAATAAATGGATATCACATCACTATATCCTTAATTTTACAGATCTAAAATTAGGAAATATGGCGTATCGTCACAAATATACATAATCGTAAATATGAGATATATTTGCCCTAATGTTAATAAATTAGAAATGCTAGATTAGATGCAGTTACAGTATATAGCAATGATTAAATAATTAAAATTAAAAGATATCTATAAAGTAAAAACAATTAGTGTTTCACTTATTGTTACTTTACCGGTTAAAGATACACGCTGGCGTACAAAAAAAGTACATGTATTTTGAAATTGTTTTGATAACTTCACTGCTATTCTTTTAAATCTAGAAAGAAAAAAAGATAAATCCTTAAGGATTCCTGTGGAAGGTAATAGAACATTGCACATGTACATGCAATTCATCATCATAGATAAATTTTGAAGCTTATTTGCGATCATAATATTTAATAGCTATACCTTACTATCTAGAGCCGATCCTGACTATTGCTGTACATAAAGCGGATCAGTTAGAACTTGATGTACATGTTAAGCACCCATTAGTGAGAATACATCTTGTAGATATTTCAAATGGACAATACGTTAAGAAGTCAAATAGGTAAGCATGCATAACATGTCGCTAACTTGCTATACACCAAGTATTTGAGTTTGTATTAAGAGTCACTTAGGCCCTGACATGTATAAAAGCGTACACTAATCTACTGTTTATGATTTCTCGTAGAGATAAGTCTGTTGTTTCTTATTATGAAAATGAAAATGATGCTGTCGATTATATCTTACCAGTGATGACACAGCCATACGACTACAAAAAGCACCGGTGCAAAAATGCTTTCAGTTATTTTACTTACTTTACAAAATAATTCTGCTGTACATGCTATGAACTTGACTACTGATTATGCATCCATATTGTAATCCAAACAGATCCTTTACACCTCATTGGGAAGAATTGATCCTGTATAATGAAGCATTTTCTTGCTTCGTTAAGCAAGATCAATCACAAACTATAGTATTTTTTGAGGTAAAGCTATGTCTTAAAGGTGCCATAAGTTCTTTTAAGTATTTTGATAAACTTTTTAACAGTTAAAATTTATTTTCGTTTTATTTCCACGATCACTTCAGATTCTAGATTTTCTAGGTATGAATATTACTAACACCGCCGCTGCGGCTAATCAAAACGGAGGTTGGCACAAAATTGCGTGGGCATTCCTAAAGGTATGACTACAGCATAAAAGAACTTTGATTATTACTATAGAATTAGTTTTGCTGACAGAAATGCTTAAAATTCCTTTAAATATGAAGCCCACTAAATATTCTAATTAAATTAATTGTGTTTATATTTCTTGATTCCTTAGTTAGTAGGAGGGAATGGAGAATTTAATACTGACAAAAGAGTCCGTTTACAATTATATCGTTGTCCTAGGACTGCTATTCATCGAAAAAATGATTCTGCAGAGGTAAATATCGAGCAGGTTAATGACAGTTTTCGAACGATTCATATATACAGTATACCTAAATTTTGCAAAAAAATTTGGTTAACCATAGATTTATAAATGGTGGAAAGACTGTCCAAGAGTGAAATACCCATCCACACTTTACGTAACTGTTAAAAGTACTAAGCCTCCTCAGAATGTCGATCCTTCAATGCGATCAATGTTCCCTGTACAAAAAGTAACGCTTAGTAAATTCTATCTAGCTTACGGTCTCTATTTGCTTGTATTTCGCTAAATGTTAATATCAAGCTTTACATTCAGTAAGGTGCCTGATTTAATTTCAATCGTTACGTATATAATTAATCGGTTCTTACTATTTCTACCATTTAGGAAGAAAGTAAGATTACTTATGATGAATTATCAAATACTATTATTGATGAAAAGAGACTAAAAGACTTGTAAGGACTGCCTTCTATTCGATTAAGTATTTAAGTCTTGCGGTAATTTGAGATTGAACATAGGTTGATCGAGATAATTAAAAAAACAATTTATAGGAAAGCAGAAGAAGAATCGAAAATTCAATGGAGTAAATTACCAAGCCAGGTCTTCTTGACTTACATTCAATTATGATCCTATGCTTATTTGGTTCGATTTTTATTATATAATTAAATTACTATATGTAGGACTGTCGTATACCTAATAAATTACTGCATAACTTCTCCACCGGTATGAGAGGGTGCCTCGTTGTAAAATTTTCTCATAACGGAAGGTATTACGGTATATAATGTTCATGCATCGAAAAATTTTCAAATATATAACTGACAAATAAACTAAATGTTTAATATGAAATAATATCCAAAAACAGAAAAATAGCGGCAGGATGTGTAGACAAGCAAAGTTATCCGATTCTTGTGTATGATGTAAGCAAGCAATAATGTTGTATAATTTACACACTTACTATAAATCTAAGTTGTGATAACGTTAAACTTTTCGATGTCATAATCATTTTTTAAGTCCTATTCTTAGGGGAATTATGAGCGTAACCTATAATTCTTTAACTGCTTATGACTTTTAGCTTAAAACTGGTAAATGCTGTAACACCTTTACCGGTCATTTTAGCATCATTTACGATGTATCATGGTCTGCTGATGACGAAGAAATTCTAACAGCATCGTCAGATGGAACGGCTAGGTTATTTTTTACCCTCTAAAAGTTACAAATTAGGCATTATCATCTTGATAAGTTTAAAGAAAAGTTTATTAATACGAATGTAGCAACCTCTTTCATTGAATATCTTTCATCATTTGTATCTATTATAGAGTCTGGAATTTTAACGAAAGTGGCGGTGCATCTAAGATTTTACCACACCCAACTTTTATTTACACAGCTAAGTATCACCCAGTAACCTCTACCTTGGTTATTACTGGAGGGTATGATTTTGTAATTCGTATTTGGAACACGTATACCTTGGAACAAAGCGGGCAGGCAAGTCTATAATTCAGTAGTAAATCACAGAGTTAATATCATCTGTTTTCCTTGTAAATGTAAAAAAATGTTTATATATTTAATTAGTTACTAGCGGAATTACCTGGTCATAGCGGATATATTAATACCATTGCTTTCAGCAAAGACGGTAAAATTAAAATTTAAACTAAATTTTTATAACAATAGTAGTCATAAAATTATAGCGCTGTAGTATCTGATAATTCTTAGTAATTACCATCTACAACGTCTGTTCAGGTGATAGAATGTTTAGTGGCGATAGCGTTGGTGGCTTACTCGCTTGGAGAACTGAACTTAATATTAAAGAAACTCCTGTAAAGATAGGTAACCCTGTTCTATTAAATAATTTGTAAGAAATTCATGCTGTAATTGACTGCGTCTAAAATTTTAAAGCCGATATAGAAAAGTTCTCAATGCTGGAAAACTTAAGCGATAGCCTAATGAGTGTAAGTGTGCTCTAAATTCTTAGATATTTTGAGAAAATCTAGAAAGTATCTAAATATATTTGTTTATGCTAACATTTTTAACTTAGACTGCCAGCATCAATCACATTGAGTTACATCCTAACGGTCGACAATTGGTAGTTTTATGCAAAGATAGTGCAATACGCGTTGTAGACTTAAGAATGTAAGTGCTCTTTGAAATTAATTATGAGAACCTTTGTTTCGATGAATTTCTATCGACATCTCTTTTTATCTACTATCTTATTTGTAGGGGTTCTGTTATACAAACATTTACCGGATTAACTTGCTTTAAAGATCGTATCCGTTGCACCGTTACACCTTGTGGTACATATATCATATCAGGATCTGAAGATTGTAATGCCTACGCCTGGAATATTACCTCTGGTTAGATATCCAAAAATATCCCTTTTTCTTCTGATTCTATTCATGAATTAAAAGATTTAACTGATCTATATTGGAATAGGCAAAAGTGCCGGAGACTTCTCTTCATTACAATATCGTTTTCCAGTTATTGATGTTGACTTTCACCCCTATGATAATATCGTAGTCTTCTGTGCTTTTGGAGATCACCAACCTATCTTGATTTATTCTTATGATGCAATACGTAAGTAATATCATGGGTTAGAGTAGCATTTTCTTTTACAGAATTTACGTCTACGTTAAAAATGATGATTATAGACAGAATTTTGCTAATCTTACACCATTTCATTTGCTAAATAGTAAAAGATGTTAAAACGGACAGCATCCTTAAAAATACACAGACCATGGATAATAAAGCACAAGATAGCACCGAGTTATCACGATGTAAACAATGTTAACATTATGGATGTTATTTTTAAAGAGCATAATCAATTCTTCATGTTCCTGTATACATAAATTCAATGCGGCATGTCTTTAGTTCATGCAGTTATAACTTATACATAGATTTGACATTGCTATTTTACCCTGTCTTTAATACTGGTATAATTGTCAACGTTAGCTGTCTCTCTCACTGCGACAACCGACATCAAGGCACTAAAGCAGTCAATGTTCGATGTAGCCATGTCGAAATTAAGTCTAGAAAAAGCAAAAGAAAAATTTCAAGACCCGGTGGTAAGATTTCTGAAGTAGTCTACTTTAAGACACTTGCAATATAAGATTTGACTGATATTTATTTAATTTAATAGAAAGTCATTGAACCAGTATTAGATAGAACGGCAGGAGTGTCTCCTTTTCCTAGTAAAAGTAGTATTAATGAAACTTGGGGCGATTCAACATTTGATAAAACGTACTTTCCTCCTTCGGGAAACGAATACAGTAATCAGACTGCTCAGCACTTGCATCCAAGTGAAATGAATTTCGGTGGTCAGATGCAACCCCAATTATCAAGATTGGGAAGTATCGTTGAGGGATACGATGCTATTGATCGATTAAGGCAAAGGACATCATCTGCTATGAGTAATGAACTACCAGATTTTAAAAATATTCGACGGGGATCTTCCGTCTTAGAAGGAAGCATAATAGCTGGATTATCGTCATTTAATGCCGGAACAGGTATACCATATTTTCGACTATCTTTTTGAAATTTGCTTATCGCGATGATGACATCAGTCATAATCTGCAATAGAAGCTATGTATACCATTTACGTATTACGAACCATTTTAGTTCATTTATTAATCAACTCTCCACTTAGGAACACGTCGTCCGTCTCTTATTGGAGGATATGGTGGTTATTTGGATCGTCAGTTCTCGGTTCATCCCGACGGAAACCAACCTCTATTATTTGGGCCATCATCTTCACATAGCGGAACAGTAGTAATTTCCTCTACCTAGGCAATATTTCATGTAGACCGAAAACTACAGCAGTAGAAAGTTTATTTTTAAAATTGTTGCAAATTTATCAAATGTTTATAGGCTACCGCTTTATATGATTATGAAGCAAGTCGTTCTGATGAATTAAGCGTACGGCAAGGTGATCAAATAGCGGTCTTATACGTGGAAAACCAATGGTTGATGGGAATGCTACCTAGCGGCCAGCAGGGTTACGTCCCTATCAACTACTTGGCAACTGATAGAGGTTACAAATGAATAATTTTATTTGATGGCTACTGGCCAGTGTATTCTTATATCGGCGTTATGGGTTATGGTGAATTATCGATTTTATTGTAGATATATTAAAAAATTCCTCAAATGCAGACATTTCCGAAATGGGTGCAAGCGCATCAACTCAAAACCAGGCCATTAACAGTAATACGGAACATGTTAGTAAAAAATAGATAATGTTGTATCTTACGCATTTGAATTGTTTTTATCGACAAAATATCTAAGGAAAAGTTGCTCACTTTAGCAATTTCTTACCTAAATGTGCCACAACGTCCAGTACTCAGTTTTAGTTCCAAGTTATTGATTATCATTAAAGTATCTAATGGTAATTGTTAATTTTCATCCAACTATACCTTACAATAGTCTTAATGTGTAAATATAAAATTCAATTTAGCTTTCAGCTGTTATTAGTAAAACTGGAGAACTAAAAATTGTTTCTGGACCGGAAGATTCGGATATAGAAAGGTATCACAAAACTAATTTATGGATAAACTGAATACTTATTTCTTTGAGACAATTATTCTTCTGCGTTTAAGTAACAAATACTTATTATAGCGTATAGTGGTAGCTAATTTACTGTCGAAAATTTGAAATACATGCAAATTTTTTATAAAGCAATTGCGAAAGTATCTTATTTTCACGTACACAGAAAAAGGAATCAAAGGCGGAAAGTTGATAACTCAGAGAAAGGCACCCGTAGGAAAGGAAGCAAAAGCCGTAAAAATCTACAGCAAACTCATTGATGCAGTTGTAAAGTTAAAGAGGTTCCTATTTTATATTTAGCTAACTTTTATTTTTTATCAGCTCTATTTGATATTTATAGAAATCTATTTCTTAGCAATAATCTCGTATGCTAAATTCGTGATATAGATTACTTTCTATAATTGATTTATTGACTTTTATCGCTGGGTTCGAAATAAGATTTTATCTTTTCAAAATGGATTACTTTTCATTGTACTGTATGCTGTAATTTAATGCTGTATCAATATCCGAAATCAACTATTGATTGATTCCTTTTAATTAATCAAATGTAATATACCATGAAGCCACTTTTTAATTCTCAGCCTAGTTTGATGATAGCTAATGTAATATGGCCATTATGGTTATCGTAATATTTCATCGACAGTACATCGGTCTGACTAGATATCAGACATAGAATGTGAATTTAAAATGTTGTCATATAGTAGTACTTTGAGTTTGTAGTAGCAAGACAAATCTCGATTATTTACGATCAAAATGTTTTGCAAAGAGATACGAATGAATTAATCGAAAAGTTTAGGTACATCTGCTAACGCATTTACTTTATATTTTATGGTCTTGTATAGTAATGAAATTTCATTAAATCTAATATTTAAAAGAGTTATTACTGGTACAAATTAATTTGGCTTGGCATTATTGAAAGATAGTTTGACAAACCTGTTTTGCGTGAGTCGTGTAAGATCTTTTAGGATACTTTTTAATGCTCTATACTGTACAATGCATAGATTTGTAATCATCATAATTAGGTTAAGCTTCTGTAATGGAGCATATGTGATTATCATATTGAGTGACGAGTGAGTCATTATTTGAACACGTTAACAGATCGTTCAAGGTCACTCAATAGGAACAAAAAAATCAGTAGAAGCGTTAGTAGTTAGGACATTCTGCAGCATATCGAGTTACGGTAATAAATAGAATACACGTATATTAAATAATCTAATCAATGATGAATTCTATTATATAGCGTACTTGAAGACTGAATGAGGTGTATATTAGTAGCCCGCTAATTGTCGATAAAATTCAACGAATCTAAGGCATGAATTTTAATATCTTCTTGCCAATACTGTAGAGCGCGATTGCGTAGGGCAATACTTACAGTATATTCATATCATTTTATTGTACTGTACAGTGTAATGAAAGCGATTTGCATGCTGTAGTTTATTGTAGATCATCATAGGCATACATTAACCTCAGTTGTAGCATGTTCTCATTCGATATTGTGCTTCAATTTACACGAAACTTATCTTGAATTAAGAAAAATATCTGCAGTTTTGCAACGAGACAGAAAAAGGAGCTGAGAATAGATCTAAAATGTTAGCTAAGCATAAATGCAGGTATCTAGAATTTAAATAGTCCTAATAGCCTTCATCCATTCTTGCAATTGTAACGAGGCCACTCACGACTAAAGATGAGATGACCCACTATAAGGAATTAACTGTTCACTGAACACAAATGCTATTATCAAACATGTAATAAGTTGGCTTTCTTACAATGTAACGCCTAAATAAGTCATCTTGATTATGATTTATGTTCAATATCACAGAAGAAACCTTCACGTATTAGTATTATGTACTGCTGAAGATCCTAATCTATACTAATTTATTTATGTTGAAGATTTTCTTATGCTATGTTTGTGATCTCCCTTAAATACTGACCAAGTTATCATTAGACACAATTGATTGAACGACGTTAACTGGCTATAGCCAAATAAGTGAACAAATATTCCCGATAAAGAGAGTCGACATGTACGACGACTTCGAAAATGTAGAGTACTCACAGAAATTATTAATTTGAATCCCATTAATGATATATTATAATTCAATCAATTAATATCATATTGATGCAATCGAAGGCCATTTTAATCCGGGAGTCAAGGTTAATGCTGAAATTTCTTCACACAGGAAGAGAAAAAGTGTTGTTTGAAAATTCATTTATCGAAAAGTCTCGACATTATTGTGTAGTTTCCTGTCCATATGATTTTTATAAATAATTAAATTGATTAATAACGTCAACTAGCCTATGTCAGTCTTCGCCTATATTGCTCATCAATTGATAATATTATCAAATTAATCTAATTACGTCAGCAAATATAAACTTATAGAAAATCTCTCTATCGACGTTATTACCGCATATTTTTGTAATTGAGGCAAATATCTATTAAGTATTACCAATTTAGTGTATAATTATAATTATAATACATCAATGTATTAGACAATTGCAAATGAGATCGTCCACCTATAGCAAGAATTACAACTTTCAGATCGTAGCAATAGTTTTTATTGCAATCATGTTACAAATAATCACAATAGGTGATAAAAAGCTGCCACGCCTTTGAACAGCAAAAATGTTTTCAAATAGGAATATCGTAGTTTTAGATTCAAAAATGAAAACCAGTATTGAATTGTTACGTAAATTTGTAGGTGCGTAACTACTTGATTACAATTATTAATCCCTAAGAATTAATTCAATTTTTCCAATAAATCCCCTCCAGGACGGATAGGAGTGACAACTACGGTATAATGCCGTCAAAATACAATTCAATTTCACTATTATATGATTGTTGTCTGTAAGTTTCGTAAAATTGCATACTTGAACTTTAGAAATTGTAATAAGTATTGATCGGGTGATTTAATAGTAACCTTAATGCAAGTATTAATAACTGTACACAAAGTATCAATCATACTCAGATCGTACTGTATTCAAATAAATTAAAAACAAAACAAGTGCCATGTTCTAGATCTAGTCAAAAAGAAAAATTACAGATCAAATTATATCTTTTCTACCACTAGAAGCAAGTATGCAGAATTATGACGAAACACCCTGGGTTGAAAATGAAGTTGTATTTTAATTGGTTACAATAAGTTTAACAACTGAGTATAACTAAATCTTTGAAAAATGTGTAAAATTAATCAGCTGTAAAATAATCAATCTAAAGCAAAAAATGATTATTATACAGATGAAAAGTGCATGAGGCAGTTTATCAAAGTAAGCAAAAGATATAACGTAATTTTAAAAAGGTAATCTATTGAGTATAGCTATTGAAATGCAACTCGAAAATTTGTACAATTAAAGACTAACTATGCAACGTAGTTTAACGCTTGCATTTAATATCTACGGTATTAAATTACTGCCAGGAAATTAAGAATGGTAATTTGTAACGCATTTGGCGATGAAGACAATAAATAATTATAATTTAGCCGAAATCTAAATTGCTTCGTAATGAAGAATGAAAAAGGTATTTTAAAATGATTGATCTTCCTCTTAAAGAAAGAAATAAAGATCAAGTGAATTTAAGAGTCTTCAATATCAGTTTAGCATAATAAATTATTTTAACTTACAAAGTGTAAATGAATTCTTAATAACCATCATGTTATGTTACAGTAAATGTGTAATCATGACAATCAACTTAAATAAGTACGTGATGTATACAGAAATGATTATAATCAACCTCCTTACAATCGTATCAACTCAGCCATACAATCATTTTTAGCTCATACAAATTATAGAGGTCGATTAATAATTAGAAAAACTGATATATTATGCGATACCAAATGTCTTGAGATGATAATTAAACGGTATTTGCAAGAATAATAATTAATAATGAAATTATAAGAGCTATCATACCAAGCTAGATATTAGCCTTTATAACTATGTCATTAATGAATGATTACTGATTCAATAATGCAATAGCTATCGAAATGTAGCAATGTTATAAATTTTATGAAAAATTAACGATACATAATAAATGGATAGGCAAATAGTTAAATAGATGAATATTAAACAGTGCAAGTTAAACATAAATCTATGGAGAATAATGTTGGTTATAGCAGTTAAGATAAAATCATTAACTTTGCTAAAATATAAATAGTAGAAGTATTGCTTTTGTGCTTCCCTATTAATAAACACAAGAGTTGCACTTGCGTAGATAAAAAAGAATAGTATCTATTAACGCAAGCGAAACATGATGTAATCTATGAGAGTGAGAGAAAAAAGTATAAGAACTCATTACAATCATTATTAGCGGTTGACAAATTAGGATCCAGCTAATTATTGCAAATTATTAGTTATTAACACAGTCTTGTTATCATGGTAATAGACCACCGACCAGCCTTTTACATATGTAAATTATAGTCCTTATGGAAGATAAGCGAATTAATTAAAGGCTGGCAATTTAGGTAGCAGTTAGAATGGTTATATTTTCAAGTTAGATTGCAACTAAGTGAATAGAAGACGATATCAGCGTATGGTAAATAGTTTTGATGGATAATATAATCTTATATACTGATATTAACAAGATTTTTTAATACTTAAAAGTTGATATATCAGTACATAAATAAAGAAACTGTGGTGATAAAACACAGATATTTTAACTTGGATAACCATGAACCTAAACCCAATTATGGTTTCACTAAAAAGTTTGCTGTAAATCCGATATAATAAAACTTATATGTTATACATACGAAATAGTGCATAATCTAGGATGTCTATCTTATGGTGAAAATTACATTTACATGTGAGTTAAATAACAATTTAAGCTTACGTATATATATATATTATATTACATATTTATATCTATCTATATATGTATATATATATAAACATGATGATAAATCGTGTGTTAATCGAACCAGTACGGCCTCATTAGATTATTGTGCATTGAATAATACGTTTATCTGCCCTGATTTCATATCCATGATCAAATCACCTGATACGATATCGATGCAAAGTTTTAATTATGGCAATCACCATTAATTAAAAGAAGAAGCATACTTTCAATTGAAAATCGAGGACAAGCATTTTTTAGTATGAACAAAGTTTTAACTGTTGATTGCTACGTTAATCAGTTACATTATTATTTTTCTCAACTACAATAAAGCCATGAGTATATATCACTTGTATGAATACAAATTAGTTATGTTGCAGAAATATTTAATCTTGCAAGTTAACAAATTGCCATAGGTATATGATATCTATCCCTGACTCGATAATGTAAATGGATACAATCCAGCTTTCATCTCTACCTTATAACTACCGTTGGCATAAGTTACTAGATCTATTTTGGCGTACATTAATGCTAAAGGTATTGTTATTATTATTAGTGATGGTAATATCATCATCCAATGTTGCATAGAGCTCATTTTCTTTCCTATCCATTTTACCCAAACAGACTGGGACAATATCATTTCTAACATTGTTATTATTAAGGGAAACTTGACAATAAGGATTAGAGACAATGTGAGTATTGCTGCAACGTTGATTACCAGCAAATGAATTATTATCCTTCTTGACAATAGTACCGGTATTATTAATGATGGTTGTTGATGTTGATGCCAATTGTGTTACAGGACCCATTGACGTAGTGGGCTGCGATCGAGATTTTCGACTAGTAAAGGCATTCTTCAGACGTTTTCGATAATAAATAGCAGCAATAGTGGCAAGGGCAGCTACAACACAACTAGTAGCGATAATTATGTTTATCGTCGAAGATTTATGATCTGTTAAAGCACCATTATTAACCTGAACAACGACAAATGCGTAGCCAGATATCGATTTATTGTATCTGTTGTACGTTCTAACAAGTAACTTGTAAGCATTAACTCCAATGATTGGCTTTTGATTTAGGACAATATTACCGAATCGATCAGTAGTAAAGATATGGTAATAACTACTGCCACCAATAATAGTATAAACTAGATTATCTCGCGAAACTTGATTAGATTGAGATAATTGAATTTTTGCAACTGCTGTCCCAATTTCAGTATTGGATTTCATAGTTACGTTATAATATTTCTGACTCAACTGCAATGCATTGCTATCGTAAGTGATGTAAATTGTCATCAGCCATTCACTACTTTGAGGTGGCTTACCACTGTCTGAAACACGAATTTTTAACTTGATTATTGCTGGACCGCCACTTGGAATTTCTTTGACATATCGAATAACACCCGTTGTTGGATCGATTCTAAACCAACCATAACTATTACCGCTTGCGATGGTATAAGTCAGTGGTGGTCCATTGTATGGTTCATCCGCATCAGTTGTTATTAATTTTGCGAAATCTTGCCCAAAACTCATAGTATTATGAATGTAACCTAAGTAAAAATTTGAAAAATTAAATATTCCCGTTGTGATGATAATAATGATTGATAAGGAAAGATCTTAATAAGATAGGCATAGTTGTCCATCATCCATGTCTTATTATCGTTTTAAATACTAATCCTAGATCTGATGTAACCTAAAACAAAGTTTGAAAATAATATATTCTATCATTTACCAAACATTATTTTAGCTGTTGACTAAGCAGTTACTGCAATTTCGGACTAACTCCAACGATAAATTTTGATTTGAATTGAACTAGATCCTCATATAATGAATCTGTTATTCTCCGTATGATTTGGAAACGGTAAATTTTTCTATACCTATTAACTTAAAATTAAATTTTAAACTTTCAATGACTGCTTTCAAGTTTGAGGGGCCCCTATATACTGCAGAATTACAGTGAAAGTAATGATTTTCGGCTGACTTCGACGATGAATACATAATTATGCAGTAAGCGTTTCTAGCAGTGTAATATCTGAAATTAATCGCTGATATTTTACCGCAACACAATAAATTAGCGAAGGAAAAATAAGTTATTTGAATCTACCAAATAGATAATTTGCTAATTATTATATAGGCTCCGGTAGCTGAGCTTGCGAATTAAAATATGCGGCAGAGTCAAATATATTCTATAATCAAGAGTATCTGCGACGATACCTTAGGCGTCATTATGGAAAGTAATTTATTAATAAATAAACGACTCTTCCGCTAAAATGGTATTCCGAATGATAACTTGGATTGAAATACCACTTTAGAGACATATGCGCTGTTCAAGTTAACTTCTGCGACGACGCCCAATATATCGTCACAAGTCCGCCGAAATGGCGGTACTTTCTTTCGTTATTATAGTGATCAATACATAAGATTGAACCAAGATATTACACACTTCCACCTCTCATATATTACAATCATTTACTTGGCATTAGATTTAAATAAAGAAAAAAAATGTTGAATACTCTAAGCTCTCTTCCCACTTATTACTCGCAGTTCAACTTGTACGTAAGTCAACATATTTTACAAATATTTACACAGATGCTCACTGCCTGTATCAAATGACTTATGCTTAGCTTAAGTTGCAACATTGACTTTAAAATTGGCTTCTACAGTAATTGCTCTTCGTGAATAACATTCCAAAGGTAAGATATTGGTAAACTTATATATCGGCTGATCTTGAAACATAATGATTGAGGAGTTAGGCTTTCAGTACACTAAATTGCAATACTCAGAATAACTGCTGTCAATTATCGATTGGTAAGATTGTAACTCTATTTAGCTACATATTGATTCGTTTTAAGAATTTTTTAGCTATTTATAATGCTATAGGATAAAGTATAAAGTATTAGCCTATAGTTTTCAATAGATAGTATTAAAGCTAGCGTCAAGCTTAATGATTGAGAAATGCTATTGCGGAAAAGGAAAAGATCATGTAAGCGAGTACATCAATTGAAACTATATCCAACCACCAACTGATTTTATGCAAATTTCAATATCTTAACGATACCTTCGGTGCATTAACTATAGCTAAACGATTGTTAAAGCCACTGAGAGTAAAAAGTAAAAAAATTTCTAGTATAATAATTGATTTCGATTATCTACAAATATTCTATATAAAAATTTTTTAAGTTCTTCTCACTCATCAAGTATAGTTTCAGTCTAACGACTATGGCCAGCTTTACAGTAGTGTAAAATGTAACCATCTGGTGCATATAAGACATGAAATTTAAACTACCCTATCTTCTGTATTTGCTTTTTTTAATCCATGGAATAGCTTGATAAAGTGGCGATTGTATAATAACACAAAGAGGGTGCGTTCTATACCATACTAACGAAAGCGATTTGTGGTAATTATTCTAGTAAAATTTTAATAACTGTTGCAATCCTGCTGTAAACTGATATAAGAAACTTCGCTCTACGAGTGTATGGTATCGCCGTATTGTCTAACATACACTTTTAATTAGTACTTGTATTAGATAGAAAATCTATGACAGCTTAAAAAGGGCTTTCTAACTCATTGGAATCTAATACAGTATCTCCTTGAATCAACAATTTTATCTAATATAATTAAAATTCATCTTCCAAATTTATACAATTTTTACGGTATAACTTCTCTTTATTTTAATTTACATACCTACTAAGCTTGAAGCATTAACCTTAGGTGGGTTATCGTTAATGTCGGAAACATAAACAGAAACATCGATTTTGCTATTACGAGATGGTATTCCCTCATCCGCTGCTTGGATAGTTAGTCTGTAGGCTGCAACAGTCTCACGATCCAGGTGGCGTCGTAAAGTAATATAACCAGTTTTAGCGTTAATTAAGAAAGTATCGCCGATGTTGCCGTCGACAATAGTGTAAATTATTTTGCCATTATTACCACTATCAGGATCAGTTGCTATTACTGCTAGCACAATTTCTCCAATAGCAGCATTTTCATTAATTAATCTCATGCACAGACCTTGTATAGCATTTGGATAGCATAGAACATTTAGCATGATGTTGCCGACATAAAGAGAGAATGGAAAGCAAATAATCAAAATAAGTTAATAATATTAGGTTAAACCTATGCCTGTCTCAATATTCTAATTGACTGAAGGAGTATTTACTAACAAAATTGCTTTACCACCTTCTCTATTAACATATAAAATCGTTTCTATACTAGTCTAATATTTTAATTTTCACTTTGTATACAGACGCAAATAAGTGATAGAAATTCAAAGATCTGTTTATATAAACCTATCATTCCATTTGGATTTGGACTCACCTTGTCTCCTTTGAGCTGCAAATTTTCTACTTTTCTCATCGGTTAAGCAACTAGCATTAAATTTTGGTGCATTATCGTTGACGTCGATTACTGTAATCTTGACTACGGCATCATCATACAGCATTGGATGTTTCTTACTGGTTGCTCTAATTGAAAATTGGTATGATGATTGCCTTTCTCGATCTAATGCTTTAGCCACAGTTAAATAGCCTGTATTCGGATTCAATAGGAAACTATGATTGTGATTGCCAGAGGCAATGTAGTAAGTGATTTGATCATTCATTCGCGCCGATAGTATAGTACTAGCATGGACTCGTAAAATAGCACTTCCAATAGTGGCATTTTCACTAACATTGTCATGATAGATTCCTTTCCAAGGATGGTGGCTACTTTGAGTAGGTTGAAATAATGGCCGGAATGGACTGCGTACAACATGGATGATTACTTTAATGGTGGAAATTCTTTCACTGATATCTTTAGCGCTAACAATCAGTGTAAAAGTGTTGCTTGTCGGTGAATAAACTAATGCCCGTGTAGTATTTAAGTTGCCATTATTTTGGCCTATAGCAAAGCTAGAATGCTTATTGCCCGAAGCAATGGCATAAGTGATTTTGTCATCGGATAACGCTTCAATGCGGATCATGGGAGTATTGGCTGGTAGCTGTTCTGTAACATTAACTTGATAAAGTGGTTGGCGAAATATTGGAGCTCCACCAGGAAAATAAACATGAATGTAAACTTGAACAGTGTTGTGTAAATTTAAATTAGAATTGACTGTTGCACGCACAATTAATTCATAATCTTGGATACGTGGTGTTGCCAATAATCGTATATTTCCATTTAATTCGCCGATAAAGAATAAGCCATCTTCATTACCGCTATCGATTGAATATCGAATAATACTGCCATCGGGTACTTTTGCACCGACAGTGACTACAATCGATTCGTGCTGTAAAGCGCATTCTATCGATTTATAATAAAATCGTGATGTAAAATTGGGCCTTTGATTGTTGGATGGGACTTCGCGCCGTGGTCGATCTTGGAGAGAATTGCTATTTTGATGGTGTAATGGAGACGGCCGATGAGGATTGTTTCCACTTGGAATACCATATGGTATGGAAGGGTGACGACGACGATTATCATCATTCTTCCTCGTTAAGAGATTCCATGATAAATCTTGGTGTGATTGCAAGTCTGTTTTGCCATCTAGGATTCGTTCATTTTTCCACGTTTTATCCAAAAGGGCTAGACATTGATTAATTTGGATTGTTGCCAAAACTGACAATAACAGAACAATACTTTTACCTTTCAGAAGGGTAGACATATTTTATCTTCTAGAATGGAAAAAAAATAGAGAGTATTTAATCGTCAAAGAGGTCAATAAATCTTTCCGCATAGCCTATTTACTAACTATAAAGTAAAATTCCAGGAAAAAAAAGAGAGAAAGTTCCTGTAGATAGAACAAAATAGTTTGTGACGTGGATCTAAGGAAAAGCGTGCCTTAAGATTATCGTAATATCAGATATGGACACTTTTACCCTTGTAGATAGAATAAAATAGCTTATGACAAGGATCTAAGAAAGGCGTTTGGTAAAGATTATCGCAATATTAGATATGGACCGGTAAACTAATGCTACTACAACGTTAGTATTGTAGACAGTTTGAATTGAAAATGCTCTAAAAATGATGCGTGCGTAATCCGTATTATGCCTATCAACGTCATACGGAATCAAATTCTTCAATGAGATGCTTTGAAATTCAGCTTAAATAATAATAAAAATGAGCTTATCCTGTTAACAAATTAAGATAGCGAGAATCAATAGCTATTATTCATCGTTGTGAATGCTCAAGTCTGTCTGGAGAGGAGGAAGGAAATTGAATTTATAAATTTCTTTACATTGGTTGCAAATCATTAATGCCGCGAAGTTTTCGGTAGGCAAGATGGCGACTGTCTTCGTCAATCAATCTTAGCTATGATAACAACTCGATGAAATCTCAATAAAGAGGAGATTAATTAGTAAAATAAGAGAGAGATAAAAGATCTTTCGCGACTTGGTAAAAAAGTTTGCCTGCCAAGACGTTAAAAGTCGTTGTGATAGCCAAGTTAACTAAGTACTACAATAACATCAAAATTGCATGAAATTCACCTGGTTTCCTTACAAATCTCATTATAATAACTATTAATTTCTCAAAGCATTGAGAACATCTTGGGATGGCAAAAGAATCTCATCTCTAGGAGACGAAGAATAATAGCCGGAAGGGCGCCATTATAGTATCATTAAAGTCCCAGTCATCGAATTATTAATCGTCGTTCATTTATGGGATTACGAGTAGACATAGGAAGATCTCTCGTCCAAACTAATTTTCAGAGTATAGTACTATGCATGGGCATTAACGAAAGACAAAGGCAATCCGCATAAATTGGATAATAATTTCTAACGAAAGATTCAATTTTCTTTGAAGCAAACAAACAGAAAAAATGCGAAAATAAATGAAATGAAAAAATTTGATTAAATCAAAAACATTCAAGATTAGAATCTTGATATCAAGCGGTAAATGCAAGAATATTATGCTAAGGAAACTGATCCATAGTAAAAAGTAGAAATTAAAGTTATTCTATATGAAATGAACAGATTGAAAAATAAGGTGCTGAACACGCGTATCTATCCAATTGATAGGGATGAAGAGTTGATAATAAAATTTCCAATTTGAACAACCTTGATAATAAATTAGTGCTGCCACAAATATTTGCTAATATACGTTAGCTTAGACAGATCGGCAACATTGACATGAATGTAAGAAAATCTGAGTAGTTTCGTGTTAATCGGTATAAATATGGAATAGAGTAGAAGGAATACATTTAACTGCTGTTGCCGCCATAGCAAAAAAAAAATGTAGAAAAGATAAATTCGTACTACAAGCCTATTTGTGACCGTGGTCATGATGGGTATTTTATTGCCAATGTTTTTAGAATAGTTTATCATGTAAAATAGGTTAAAAAAAATGATATACTGGGTAATAAAGCAACTAGGATAGAAATAACACATAGCAACGTAAAGGTAAAAGTTCAAAAGTAACGATGCAAGTTAATAAAAAAATAGCGGACAAGAACTCGCTAAAAGGACTATTTGAATATCTGTTATCCCAAATTGAATTTGGATCATGTAGCATGCCTGTATTTCACTAGTAGGATAAGAACATTTCATCTTCTTCTACCTTATTTTGTCGCAAGCTATTACACTACTTTATTTCCTTCACTATCAATGTCATTCAAGCATTTGCAAAGGTATAGCGCAAAAGACAAGATACGTACATAGGCCTCCCTCAAAGAAATATTTTTAATCTTTGTATTGTTAACACTAAGCATATGTCAAGGTCCAAGTACGATAGTGTTGATTAGGGGCGCATAATTAATGCTGCTGCCTATCGAGCCCGGTAGACTACGGTATTAAAATATTCCAGGAATAAGGCAAGGTAATCACCTTTTCACTAAACACTGAAGTGGATATTCGAGGAGAAAAATGCGACATTTTATTACACTCTACTTGTATCCCAACTTCTTTCATTAATCAATTCTACCCTAGGAAATCAAGTTATGACTATATCAAGCCATATTATTGCGATGAGGACGTAAATTAATAAATTTTTTTCTCATCCTGTTGATCTGCCTCCCACTCAACGAATTTACGACAATAAAACTAATAACGATCATGACAGCAAAGAAATAACTTGATATAATACAGAATTGTTGGAATCACTTATATTGCACTAAAAATAAAGTATATCCAACTTTTTATGCAATGAAAAATGCTGCTATAAAGAGTAAGACCGAATCATTAGAGCTCTTGTTCGCTCTATATTGGATTTATACTGTTGAAAGGAATCACGGCACGTGTTATAACGCCAATATTTCTTTACCTGTTGTATATTGTATGTGTTATATCTATATATGTTGATACAAATATTGGCAATAATTGTTTTCAGGTCATCCAATATCCAGCATAAAATATGTTATGATAACTTAGTATAGCGTGGCGTAGGGGTAAATAATGTTATTGTGCCAACATCGATTGGGTCGAGTATATTTTCATGAATTTCAACGTCTAGAAATCCATCAGCACATTTCTGTAGTAGGCTTATTTTCCCAATCCTTTTGAAATGAATTTCCTAATATACCAGGCCTAGGAATGAGGAGTAATGTAAAAATATGCCTTATGATATCGTAAATCTGTTGCTTTCGCTCTCAATTGCGCTGAGGATCAGGATTACTGGGGAGAAAAAAGTGCCTGCTCTAAATTCAAAGCACCAATGGCGGTAGTCATCGTCATAGAAATCAGTTTATTGCTGATGAGAGGAAAAAGCAATGCCCAAGCAGTGTACTCCGTCGATAGTTAAATAAATGATCGATACAACTAAGGTGATCTTTGATTTGCTTTCAACAGTAATTGAAAATTCTCTTATTTAATTTCAAGTAGTAAAAAGGAATTTTCTGATATTGGAAAAAGTAACCAAGGGCTAATTTGAACTGCTCAAAAAGGACTAATGATATCATTTACGCCTATAAGATTTGCTTCATGGCTGCTATTCACGGTTAGATGTCCAATATTAAAAGGGGAAAGTCAATAACAAGAGTACACCCGCCTAGTGCAAAAATTAAATTGATGTAGACTACAATAAATGACAATCGAGCGATCTTAAGTACCAACTGTTAGAAAGAATACAGTTATCACAGTGGGAGGAGGAAATGAAAGACGGGGAATAATGTCGTCCATAACGATAACTTATTGCTATTAGAGGAGGTAATAAAAGAAAAAAATATAAAGTAGCCGTCCTATTATCTGCTAATTTACAGCCCGCATGGGGCCAGTCCAGGTATTGAAAGTTGTTAATTTTAAATTGAACTAGCTATGATAAAATTAAATTCAGTCATCATCAAATGAAACTATTACGTTTTGATGTCATGTATGATTCTAACGAGCTAAAACATCACCATAATGTTGGTCTTAACAAAGCAAAGAAAATTAATTTTCTCATTCTTTAGCAGCACAAGCAATCTAAATAATTAGCCCATCTGTAGAGTATGTTCGCAGTTATTCATTTAAGGTTAAAAATTAGCTCGATTGGTATGTTGGTATAGCGATAAACTCATCTCTTAAAAAAATCTATAATATTACTAACAACTTGTCAATGCAAAAATGCGATATTGATTAGATCTAACAAAATATTATAAAACTATCAAAACAATATTCTCCTGGAATGCTTGCCATCTAATTGAATTAACTTCAATAAAATACAAAATACGATTAAACTTTTGCTGTTGTATTGTTATCATGAATAAATGGTCTTTTGCCATACAATAACTCATTTTTTCCTTCAATAATATTTTTACTGGTGCCAATTTCCCATAGCGAAACTGTCCTACGCTAAAATTGTATCTTTTGCATAGGATATAAAAATTGATTAATCCAAATCATTAAGTGCATAGGTAATTAATCTAAATGATCCATAGGAAGAAATTCTACAGTTTAATAAGGCAATCGCAACTTGCTTGAAAACTCTAGAATCTCTATTCTCCGTTTGGATAAGTGCATCAATTCGCGTTTGTAAATTTGCGCGTACATGTGTACAGTAGACTTGGCGAAAGGTTACAATACTCTAAATCTATCGGCACTACTTTTGTGCATAATACGCGTTGACATATTTTCTACACATGCATTTGATTCTAGCGAATATTAGCAGTATATATCCACAAATAAGCGATTGCATTCTTAGTCACTCAACTGATTAGTTATTATAAACGATAGCTGGTTACCTTATAAATTTGCAATATTCCTTGCCTATGTTGCAGCTATAGTAGAGGATTGAACCCAAGTCTTGTCGGCAAATATGGGCAAAGAAATAGATTAAACTTTCCGATCTGGAATTTTTTTTTAAAGTAGTAGCTTCAATTGGAGACTCTTCCGACACAATTTGCTTAGTTCATATGACATACGTCCACATCCCCAAAACCCAATAAGGGATGAAGAAGAAATTGATTGAAATATAATTGAAATGATTTTAACGGGTTGATTAATTGATCGATGGTTGAAACAGGCAAAAATTCTTTTGTGAAGGAAAAAACTTTTTCATGGATTGAGCTCGTTAAAATAATTTAACTGATTGTAACTTCAGCAGATGCCAGGGTAGTAACTACTGATATGAAATGAAAATCTTAGTATTAATTTAATACAAGATTAAAAAAGGATAGAAGAGCAAGTGATATGAAGAGGTAGATAGTAAGTATGTATATAGTTACTTGGAAATGGCGTGTTTGCAAGCGTCTGG